ACTCTGCAGAACAAGTTTATTAAAAAAAATTCAATGAAAATGTATCACATATTAAAAAAATTACAATGAAATAAGCAATATCCCTTAATACAAATATTAATTATCCTAACAAATAAATTAACCAACTTCCTGATGCAAAATCTTAAGAATTCAAATGGTATAAAGGAAGTTAAGAACTTTGTTTCCCCGAAACAAATCATGCAAAGCTTTTTATACAATTAAAATTATATATAATTAAAACATAATATAAAAAAATGACAATGAAATAAACAATAAATCTCATATTTCAAGAGAAAACAGTCAGCAGTCCAGTATCCAAAGCAATGAATGAAAAACTGTTGCCAAAACCACATTTCTAAAAGAATGAAAATATCATCAGAAAGCAATGACCAATCAAAATTGTGCTTCGTGAATGACATAATTCAAAATATACAAACCTCTTTGCCGTTAGCTAATAATGAGAGAGAGAGAAAAAAAAGAGGAAATTCTTTCTTTCTGTTCTCGCGAGACATATGCGCGTCAGAATAAGAAGATTGCGATGTGCGTGTTGCGTATTCAAAAATCAAAAGAAAATAAGCAGCATGAATAAACAATATCCCTTAATACAAATATTAATTATCCAAATAAATAAATCAGTTAACTCCCCGTTGCACAAAAAAATTATGCTTAACTTTTCAGTATCTTAAAAACAGTAAAATAAGCAATAAATATTTTATCTCATATTCTCAACAGTCGGCAGTCCGGTATACAAAGCATTGAATGAAAAGCTGTTGCCAAAACCACATTAGGATGTTTAGTAAAGAAAATATAATGAAAAAACGTTGCCTGTTGCTTTTAAGACAACAGAAATTTAAGCAAATCACTTAATCAACAATGCTTCTAATAATGAAACAAATTTTCTAAATTGTCGAAGAAAAAGGTATTATTTTATTAACGAAATCTGAGAATCAGCTGTGACTAGTTTCATATAGGCATTTTAATTTTTCAAACTAATACTTCATCTGAAATGCGCGACGAAGAAACGGAAATTGTCCCAAGCGACTCACGGAATAACCTAGGTCTGATTAGTGCAATATCATATGCATTTTATGTGACTTCAGCTGCCCAGAGGAGCTGCCATTCATGAGCCTAAGCAAAATACCGAGTAAGATTTTTTTAAGTTAATTAATTAATTTATTTATTTCGCTCGTCATAGCTATTTTGTGATCTTTACATGAAATAGGAGCACGTAAAATCATTCGGGCCGAAAATCTGTTTATGTGATTGATGGCAATCGTGAAAGGATAAATCAGCTTAGCGGTGGGTTTTTTTCGGTGCCGGCTGGTTGCTGGGCTGATTGCATGGGTCCTTTCGTGGTTTCCTGCATGCGTAACGTGAAACGAAATCAATTTCCCTTTCTAAATCTTTCTTCGAAGATATCTGCCCATTTATTAGATACGCTTAGCTTGCTTTGATATAATTAAATTTAGAGAAACTTTCCTTAGTCAAAGAACCATCCTTGCTATTATCATCTGAACAAATAAACAATCTGTTATATGTTTAATCGAAAACTATTACTGTAACGTGAAGCAAGAAACCAGAATATGGGCGTTATTAATTATCATGGGTTTAATCTTTCTTAAATAAAACCGCGACTTTTTTTAAAAAATTAAAACTGGTGTTGACTAATTCGAAAATTAGATCATCAAAATTGTTTATCGTGTTTGAGCCTTCTAATTACTTTTTCTATCAATGTTACGATTTAAAGAAATGTTCCTATAGTTTTTAAGTGCTGTATAATTGTTTTTTTATGCAATTTTATGTGAATGAAATAAAAATTGTATTTATTCCTACATCTTGGTATGCTTCTGCTTCATTAACAAAAACGCTTCTGCTTCATTGCAAAAATGGAAATATGCTTTCTTTCTTTCTTTCCCCCCCCCTTTTTCTTTCTTTCTTTTTTTCCCCTTTTTCCTTCTTTTTTTTTTTTTTTTTTTTTTTTTTTTTTTTAAAGTCCAAAGGCTTTTTGTCCCTGAAGGACTATTGTTTCCGTTTTGCAATATCACTATAAATGTCCGTTTCACTTTTCAAACTGTTGGCAGCAAATGTTAGAGCCCTGCATTATATTTGAAGAAATTAAATAATGAAAAATCTGCATAAATGTATGTCTATTTCTCGCACTGTGATAAAACAACGGTACATAGAGCCATCGAATTTTGAATGCCGTAATCCTCCTACAAATATAGGCATGTGGAAGACCAAATTTGAAATTTGGAATTGGTTTTATTATCGATTTCTTATTTTATAAAACTTTTAACGAATTTTTGATTAACAAACTCAAGGATTTCAAAGCGAGCAATGGCAACATTGTACGGAAAGAAAAAGCGAGACTATGTATATAGGAAATTTTAAAGATATGCCCATTTTAAAATTATTTTGCCATATTGCTGTTGAATTGAATTCTATGGTTTAATTGCGAAGAACATGATATTTAATAAATAAAGGTAACACACAAAACGTTAAAAAAAAACGCTCCTTTGGGCGTAATTTAAAATCTGAAACATTTCAGACTTTTTTTTTCCCCTTAAACTTGCCTGAATTAACCGAGATTTTCAGTTAGACGTGGATGTTGTACCTGGCACTATCCCATTTAATAGGAATTTAACTATATTTAAATTATAGCAAAGCATGAAAGGAATTTCCTTCGTGAAGAATTTTTTAAAGGTACTCACGTTACGTATGGTGAGAACCATGATAACTCCCATGCATAAAGCCTTTATTTTTAGTTTAGTTTATTTAATTATGGCAAAGCACTCGAGAGACACCTAAGAGAAGGGATGCTTTCGTGAGGACTTTCTAATAGAAACGGGTTCGTATACTCGTTACACATGGGGCAAACCACGAAGACGCCCATGCACGCAGGCCAGGCAGCCCGTTTACTGAGATTTAAAACCACGGTCGACCTACTAGTGTTCAGTGGTTAAGCCGCGCTGTCGATAGTGTATTGAATAACGAAAGAAATATAGTTTAGTGCATCAGTCAGTGAAAAACCATTATAAATCTGTGTTTATATTTTTTGCATTACCATTTCATAGATGTAACTTCAGTCTGATTTCCTAACACATACCTGTCCTTAATTTAGAGGGGGGGGGAGGAATCAAAAGTGTTGGAGAGAAAGGGCTAACCGTTAAATGCAAATTTAAATTTTCCACAATTGAATGACTTTGACTCCTTATCAGATCATTACCAAGAATATATCAATAAGTAATATATGTAAGGTAAAAATTGAGCAAAATTCCGAAATTAGAGCATAAGAAATTAAATATTAATTTAAAACTGATATTTAGTAGGCAGAATTTTTTAATATTTGCCTGTTAGTGTTAAATTCTTTGCTGTCATAGCTCTGAACTCGATATTATACATTCCCATCTTACCCTCTTGCTGATCCCATATTCATTCATAGACAAACCCAGCTACTATTATGAAAAAACTGAATGAAAGGTGATTTCATGTGTCGCCATCTATTGCTTATTATATAAACTTTTCTCGCAATTACATTTATAAGAAAATTAAGATTTGATAGCTAAAAAAAATAATCCTTCTGGTAAATTCTTAATGTCCGATGACCAATTTGAGTGATACCGTGATATAAAGTCCTTTAAATTTTTGAAACTGCCTGTTTTGATTTTAAAACAAAAGTGGAATATGTTAATATTAAGAAATAATCCTCAATAGATAATAATGGACACCAATTTAAGACATTTTTCTCTATTGCAAAAAGCGTTCGTAACATACTTGTGACAAATTCATTGTGTTTTAAAATTCTAGTCACTTAAAAATATTAATAAATAAATCTGTATAGCAAAGCAGAGTAATTAGTCCCCATTTGAATCGCATAGCTCGAAGACATACGAGCGAACAGCTATGAAATATGTATATTTCACTTGTTGCACCATAGGATAGAACGGAAAAAAGTCTTTTAAATGAAGCTTATTGCGAATTTCTATTTACAAATTCTGGAATTTTTAGCCTAAAAACGGAATTAGCCTGGAAGGGTTAATAATTTTGTTTAGCATTTCGCTTCGATTCACTATAAACGGCGAATCCCTTTTGAAATTGTTGCCACCAAATATTAGAGCCCTGTATTATATTTAAAGAAATTAAATAATGAAGAATCTGCATAAATGTGTGTATGTTTCTCGCATTGTGATAAAACAACGGTACCTAGAGCCATACAATTTTGAATAACGTAATCCTCCACCGAATATTGCCATCTGCAAGCCCTAATTTAGAACTTGGAATTTGTTTTATTATCTATTTCACATTTTGTCAGACATTAAAGAATTTTTGATTAACAAACTCAACGATTTGAAAGCAATATTGTACGAAAAAAAAAAAAATATATCTAGCGCGCGAGACTGTGTAATGGAAATTCTAAAGAATAAAGGTAACATATAAAACGTTAATAAAACGCCACCTTGGGAGTAACCTAAAATCTGAAAGCTTTCAGACAATTTTTAATACTTTCGTTATGTTAAAATTTCAACGTCTGAAAATATAAATATTAGAAAATTTTGAAATTTTCACAGATTATAAATAATTTTTTTAACTTAAAAAAAGTATGATAAAAAATTTTTAGCTAAATGATTTCTTTACGTTAATGCTTAATCACTTTACGTTAATGCATGCAGTACCTAAAATAATATTTAAGACCCTAACGCATCACGAAAAATTACGTCATTGAAATATATTTCATATCATGGTTTACTTGTTGCCAAATTAGTGTAATCAATCTTCATTGAAAACGTAGACTGCAAACATTATTCGTAATATGAATGCGTAAATCCGCTATTTTTGAGCACGTGTAAGAAATAAAATTCGTAACAAGTAATGTGCTTACATGCAATAATTTGTAAGCCACTTGGTTTGATTTCTCTGTTTGAAAGTTTAAAAGATATAGCATTTATTTAACTGCAACTTAGGTCTATTAGATATACTAAGCTGTCTTTTTTGCGTAAGAAAAAACAACCGCTACTGAATTTAATAAATTTAAATCTAAAATGTATGTAAAATTTAACTGCATTTACCTCTTAATTCTTCTTACTTTCACCTGGTATGTCAGTTCAAAACTCGATATTAAAGGAGAATTACTGGAATGTGAAAAAACGCCAAAAGGAGATTTTTCTAAGTACCAAACACTGCCATATCATACTATCGAAAACTGCACTCGTAAGATACGACTAACGGTTAACATTACAAATTCTGGAAAGGTAAAATATTATTTTATTTTATTAATTTTGATATTTTTATATGTTTAATTTTAACATATTTTGTTGTGTGCTTACAAATAATAAACTCTCCCAAAAACGTGGCATGTGCATAATGGAAAAGTACCCAATATATTTTTTAAATTGTTATAAGCATTTGACCAATCCATTAGTTCTTAATTTTCTCGGTACTTTTCCGTTTCGCCGGCGCAAATCTCGCCAAGCAGACTTTATTGGCGACAACATACAGTATACACATAAAAAATATTTTAAAAAATTTTAGTTCTAAGAATTCTTTTTTTGAAGGCATAAACATTTTAATATCGCTTAAAATTTTATAAAAAGCCGATAAATAAAGACAATAAATTTGTAAAAAGACATTAATTTAAGAATTTACTACGCTTTCATGGTTCAACATCCTGATTCGCCGGTTCATATCACGTGACCCCAAGCGATCTCATCTCACGTAAAGTGCTCTCTACAAAAATCTAATGCTCTCAGTAATTATCTACATTAATTTCAAGTTAAATCTTAATTTGGAACACAAGTTTAAATGCAAGAAATATTTCAATTCGTATGAATAGCTTACTCAGAAATTATGTAAAACTGCAGTGCTTTACTTCGTTAATGCATTCTCATTAGAATTGATGAATTTAACCCTAACATATAATTTTCTTCTTCCACCTTCTTTAATCTTTCAGAAAGTTCTAAGATTGGACCATAACTTTTCTAAAAAGTGTTTTCACTTAACGTTTAGAATTAAATTCTCTTAAAAACTTTCTGCTTACGAAGACTGTCATTGAATCAATTAAATTAAAACAATTTTCGTCAATATATTAAAATAATTTCTGAAAAAAATAACTAAATAATAATATTGCTTATTGACATATCTTAATGGAGAACAAAACCACGGGAAAAAAATTTAAACCCATGGTCTTGACGTTAAACTATTTTATAGCCAAGAAAAAAAAAAGGAAGCTTCTATTTAAATTTAAAATTATTTACATTGCTTTTGAGTGAAGTTAAACGAAACTAGAAATCATTCTAGATATATTTAACAAAGGATTTGCGCTACCCCTTAAAGCTTGCCTTTGCATATAATCCTCTCCAACAGACTGAGAGGTTATAGGCTATTTGTATACCTCTAAGCACTCGAGGGTTATTTGTGTAGGCAAAGGGAAGCTTTCATGGAGGTCTTTCTAAAGGAAACTGACTCGTTTTAAGTTACACATGGATGAAAATCACATGGAGGAAAATCATATGTTGTTGGAGACGGCTGCTGCAGACAGACGATTACGTAACGGCTGGGCGAAGGTCGACAGAAAGAGCGCCGCGTTTGATTGAACTATTTTTTATTATTCTTATTTTTTTCTTTAACTGCGAACTAAGCGGGGAAATTCCCTTTTTCACTCAGTTATATGTATGGACTAGTTAGAGCAATGTAACGTTTTCAGCTTGTTTGAGATATCCATATTAAATCTTTATATTAATAATCCCTGCTGTGATTATTTAATTTGTAACCTGCACGTTGTAGCCCTGAGAGTTGCAATATATTAAATCTGGCGTCCGCTAATTTATATTTCTGGTGAAATATGGATATAAAGTCTTGAAAGCAAAACGAAAGTTGCTGAGAACAGCATTTACGGTGTGCTGCAACGATATAGCTCAGAAGATCGAAAACAAAAGTTTAGGAAGTGACGAAGTCAGTACGTTGTTTCGGCAGATTCAAGACAAATTCACACGTTTGGAAACAATTCAAGAAGTTTCGAATTTTCGAATTTGTTGCTAAGCGATGATTCCCTTCAAGACGAATATTCCGAAGATTTTTTGAAAGCAGAAGAATACCGAGACAAGTTCTGGTTGATTTGTTCGCTGTTAGTAAATGCAAAGAAGGGAAATTCGGTTACGGAAGGAACAACAACAGAGCAAAAAAGGAAATTCAAGCTTCCGAAACTTGAATTAAGAAATTTAGTGGAGAACCGAAAGACTTTCTTGCTTTTTGGTCCCAGTTTGAAAAAAAATTCACAAAGATGATTCTATTGTGGATGAAGACAAATTTCAATATCTGTTACAATGTGTGGTAGCAGATTCTAAAGCGTCAAGACTGGTAACAAGTTTCCCGCCAACTAAAGAAAACTATTCAAAGGTAATTGCAAGACTTAAAGAACGCTTCAGGAGAGATGAACTTTTGGTTCAGATTTATGTACGGGATCTACTTTCCATAGTAATGAAAAATGCTACTGGTAGGATCAAAGGAGATTTAGCTGAACTTTGTGATTTACTTGAGAGCAAGCTTATAGCACTCGAAAGCCTTGGTAGAACTAGGGAAAAATTTGCAGAATTTTTGGAACATTTGTTGAGTGCTGTTTACCAGAGACTGTCCTACGTGCGTGGGAAAGAAGCCGCTCGATAGAAGATACTGCGTCACAGCAAGATAGTGCGCGTTTTTTGGATAAACTTTTGTGCTTTCTTCGAAACGAAGTGCAAAGTGAGGAAATGATTAAGCTCGCTCGTACCGGGTTGGGAGCTTCACTTTCTTCCCATTCGCGTCCACATGCTGAGGATCCGGGTTGCTCTACAGCTGTTGATTTGGTAAATGTTCAAGACAATACAGGTAGGCGAAATTTACGTTGTATTTTTTATGAGAAATCCCACAATTCTGCCGAATGTTTTTCTGCTCGCAAAATGTCTTTAGAAGATAAATGAAAACTTTTGGTGAAAAAGCGCGCATGTTTTCGCTGCCTACGAGTTGAACACAGTTCATGGGCATGCAAAAATAAGGTAAAATGTTTAACTTGTGATAAATTTCACTACACCATTATGTGCTCAAATAGCAAACCTGTAAAGTCAAATGAAATTGACAGTACTGTTATTATAAGTAATATATTGTTTAATCAGTCAACTGTTAATGAAAATGTGTATTTGCAAACACTTGTTTTAAAAATAGTATTCGAAGGTAGACAACTTACAGTTCGTACGATTTTGGACAGCGGTTCTCAGAAATCTTAGCTTTCAGAGAGGGTCATCGCGTTTTTGCAACTGCGTCCTAAATCGAAACAAACCATTATACACAGTTTGTTTGGGGGGAGAGAGACAAGTCCTCATTCCCATTTAGTGTTTGATGTTAATTTAAGAAATTCTGAGGACACTTATGACCATAATTTTTGAAGTACTTTCTCAAAACAAAATATGTGGATGTGTTCCAAAAGTAGTTGATCGCAATACCCTGAAAGAATTAAAAGAAAGAAATATTACCTTGTCTGATTTGCAAGCTAAAGAATATGACATTGAATTGCTTTTAGGAGCAGATGCCATTGGGGACATTATTACTGGCAGTTCTCTGAAACTGAACTCGGGTGTAACTGTAGTTAAGACTAAATTCGGATACACTGTGATTGGTAAAGTAAACAGCTTATCTAAAGAACCTACTTCAGCTACTATTCCAGCATTACTAGAAGATAATTGGTGTAATAATGTAGTTTCGTTGCATTGTGCTAACTTTAGCGTAACCGAACTCTGGAATTTAGATGCCAGTGGCATAACAGATCCAACTGAAGATGTTAAACTTAAACTTGCTCACCCTGACACCGTTAAGCAATTTAAAGAGAATTTAAATGTTTTTCCTGATGGACGATATGAATTGCCACTACTCTTTAAATCTGAAATTCTGCTACCTAACAATAAGTCTATGACTTTTAAAAGGCATCAAAGAATGTGTCAACGAATTAATGAGGAAAATTAGTTAGGTAGTTTAGGCAGTAACCTGCACGTTGTAGCTCTGAGAGTTGCAACATTGCGTTGCCTCGCATTTTAGAGGAATTTGTTACCAGGCCTCCTTCTTTAAGAACCAAAAAAATATTCTCGCTGCTCATTCTTTCTGTGTCGTGTTATTTCTTCGTCAAGAGCTCCTCATACATGTGATTTTTTATAATGACCTGCTTGCGTCCCTCTAGAACATTTGAAATTTTACCATGTTAATGAACTATCATAGTAGAGAAATAATCTTGAAGTATAATATTTTATATCTGAATCACTCGGATCAGTGAATAATTATAAGTTTTACAATCAGTTTTGATACAAGTTGGGCCCCGTGACCGAGTACTCTGGTGATAATACCGTTCAGTCCATGTTTAATGTGGTCGTAGTACTTTTTACATTGTATATTCTACGTAGTACATTCCTTCGTCGGTGTATTTTTGATAAATAGAAAGAAACACTAAGAACTCAAAGAATGAAAAAAAAAAAAAAAAAAAAAACAACTCTATGACTTTTGTAGACAGTTTGGGTGACGTTAGGTTAAACCAAGGTCCTTAGAGGAACCTTGAGGTTAAACCACTGCTCTAGCATAATTAATTTTGTGCATTTCTTTGGTTTTGAGAATTTGGCATCATCTGCGCATAAGCGCGCAATTCGCATTTTGTCGCATTTTAAGATAAGATGTCGCATTTTAAGATGTTTTGGGAGAAAATTTGATATAATCCACATTTTTATACGAAACACGATTTACTTGCTGTAAAATTTAATTTTAGAATATGTATAAAAGCGCTGTGTTTAAGCAAAAGCAATTTTTTTAATCATCTCTGAGCTGATTTGAAGATAAAATGCCTTTCATTGTGGGAACACAAATATGAATATTCTTGCGTATTTTGTCGTAACATATTATATATTGAAACATATAAAAAATCTTTCTTGGCGAGTTTACTTTCCATGTTGGTGCCTGCTTTCATCTTGTTTTGAATAATTGAATTAATACATTTCTCATTTCAATTAATACATTTTTATCTCTTAGTATTTGCAACTAATTTGGTATACTGCTGAATTTTTGACAGTATTTTTGGTATTATATATCGTGTTTTGGCGTTTTTTCATCGTCTTTTGTATACTCTTATTTTTCTTAATTTGATTGTGTTCTGTACGTTTGTTTTCGATTAATTTTTAAATGTTAAAATGTTTTTCTTTTAAAGCATTTCAATGAAATGCCAAGGTATTGTAAACCTTGGCTTAAGGTGTGTCTTCGCTGGAGCAGAAGAAGCTGACTGCGTGAACTGGTTGTACTGATTTTTTTTTCTATTTCATTTTATTCCAATTTCTTTATGTTTTTAGATTAAAATGCCATCTGTGTTAAGCGTTGTTGAGAAGTTTCAGGGAATATTAACGGGGAATTTTAATTTTCAAATGGAAGGATGACCTTAGGAAAGCCTGGTGTAGCCAATTGATTGTTTCTTGTGTATTCATGTCAAAATCAGCAATTATTCTTAGACTTTTTAAAGGAAGCAGGCTTGATAAAGTGGGGATTTATAAGTGAGAAATGTAATTCTGAAATGAAATTTAAAGCCAAAAAGTCAAAGTCAGAGGGTTTTATGTGGGTGTGTAGGAAAGTTATGGCAAGGAAGGAATGTGGATCTCAGAAGTCAATTAGATATGGGTCATGGTTTTGCAACAGTAAGTTGAGGATAGATGAAATATTTTTTTTAACATACGAAATGCTCAGAGGGACTAAAATTCAAGAGGAGTACTTTTTGGCTTCTAATACATTAGCAGACTGGATGCGATTTATAAACGAAACTATTTTAGATTATATAGAACTATCATCGAAAAAAATAGGTGGTATTGGCAAGATAGTAGAAATAGATGAAAGTAAATTTGGAAAATGGAAATACAATAGAGTACATGCAGTTGAGGGGCAGTGGTTTTTTGGAGGGGTTGAGAGAGAATCTGGCAAACTATTTTTGGTTGCTGTCCATGATAGGAGTGAGAGAACATTATTGGGCATTATTAAGGAGTGGATTAAGCTGGTGTCCACAATTTATTCTGATATTTGGAAAAGCTATGATTGTTTAAGTAGAGAGGGTTTTGAGCATTTGAAAGTAAATCATAGTTTGGGGTAGAGTAGACTTTAAGGTACCCCTTGTATTATGGTGAAGTTGTTATTTGATTTATTGCCAAGTTGCTGTTTCATTTATGGTAGCCTGAGTAGTTGAATGTTATGGAAACCCTATTGTGATGTAATCGGGTGCATGATTCTGGGGAATTTGAATCATGGGGTGTTTCATAGCGTTTTTGTGTGTGTGTGGGTTGGTTCATTAGATGGTAGAATGGCCGAATGTAGTAAGATTAATTTGAAGTTTCTGTACGATTTGGGGTGAAAGAGCAAAAGAGCTTTAATTGACTGGTGTGCGTAAATGAAGGTTTACTTAGTAGCCATTATAAGTGTCCTGTATGTAGGAAGGATATGCGTCTAGTCGAACATAAAAACCGTTTAGATGGAATGTTGAATGGGTTTGTAGGAAGAAAGGTTCAGATGGTCACTATGTGAATCGTTCTATCAGAAAGAGTACCTGGTTTGAAAAAAGTCATTTGAGTATGATTGATATTTTGAATTTTTACGTGGCTCTGGGTGTACAAAGCGAACTCGAAAATCATGGTCAGGATGGAATTGAATATTAATAATAATAAGACTGTAACATGTTTTTCCGGTTAATCTTTGGATTATGGTAATTCGGTGAAAATTTGGCGACCAACCCTGCTACAGCAACCTGCTAGTTTTTGTTTGGACGCTAGTTTGTTTTCACAAAGTAAAGGCTTTTTTTTTTTTTTTTTTTTCTCAACATTTTTTTCCAACAAACTGCTAGCCGAATTACGCTTCTGCTAGAACTTTTATGGAACAAAAATGCTTAATCATGACGAAGATTAGGTGCAAAATTGGGAGAAAGTGCAGAATCGCAAACTGCTTGCTGCGTTTTTAAGAATTGCACATACACGGTAACCATGTACACATCGACCTATTCTCACTTAAAAAAAACATCTCAGAATTGCACAAAAATGGCATTGCGCACACTCTTGACTTTATCCATGTACACTGCTAAAGTCCTAGCTAGGATACCTTTATCGCCTTACCAAAATGTCGCCAAACTACCTGTTACCATATTCCAAAGATTAGCCGTTTTTCCTTTTTTATGTTATTTTATTGTTTGGTTTAAAATGTCTTTTATTGAGTATTTTTTGTTTGCCTATATTGTAGAATTTGGTGCTCCTTTGACTTTTTAAGTGAAAATATATCGATGTGTACATGGACAAAGTAAAGGGAGTGCGCAATGCAAGTTTGTATAATTCGGGGATTTTTTTAAAGTGAAAATAGGTCGACATGTACATGGATAAAGTCAAAGGAGTGCGCAATGACATTTTTGTGCAATTTGGGGATTTTTTTTTTAAGTGAAAATAAATCGATGTGTACATGGATACTGAGTTTGTGCAATTGTTGGCCTTGCTATTTTGGCTTTGTGTAGCGGCGATTTTTGGCCCGCTTCGCAAGCCAAAATAACGAGTCAAACAATTGCACAAAATTGATATCCATGTACCGCCAAAAATCGCCAAGTTTCACCAAGGGGTACCCTAAATTATACTTTTACCTATAGTTTTATAAGGTTTGGGTATGGTAATTCATCACTACCAAGATTTTGGCGACTGTCTCCCTAATCTGCAGTTGCCCTTTAAAAGGGGGAGTATGTAAGATACTTTCTCCCTCCTTCCAGCATGCCTTCGTGGAGCACACTTGACACATATTCGAGAGGTCTAAGTTCGAGTCCCAGTGAGGGCATAGCTTATTTTTCACATCTGCTTCAAAATAACGTAATGACTCTACATATGGATGGCAATATTTAGGTTAGAGTTGATTTTAGGGTATCCCTTGTATTATCGTGAAGTTGTTTCATTATCGCTAAGTTGTTTCGTTTATCGCCAAGTTGTTGTTTCATTTATGGTAACCTGAGTAGTTGAATGTTATGGAAACCCTATTATGATGTAATCGTTTGCATTATTCCGGGAAATTTTGAATCATAGGATGTTTTGTAAGGGCTTTTGTGGAGTGTGTGGTTGGGAAGTAAATTGCTTATTTCATTGTTTAGATGGTAGAATGGCTGAATGTAGTAAGATTAATTTGAAGTTTCTGTACGATTTGGAAAGAAAGGGGAAAAGTGCATTAATTGACTGGTGTGTAAATTAAGGTTTGCTTAGTAGCCATTTTCCGGACAGTCCGAAATACGTAGGATATTTTTTACTCTTATGTTGTGATGTGATTCTTATGCTCTTATGTGTGTGTTGTTTTGTGAATTTATGTGGTGACGCCGATATACCGGTTCTAGTTCAGATAATTTTAGGAAGTTTTTGTATGCTGTTAAAGAATTTTGGTGCCACAGAGTGGATATTTGTTTTGTGGAAGCTTACATGCTAACAGGTTTTTTCTTTTTTTATGTTATTTTATGTTTGGTTTAAAAGTAGTTTGAGATATGTATTTTTCTTTGCCTCTACTGTAGTGGTGCTCTTTACTATTTAAGTGAAAAATATCAATGTGTACAGGACAACTCAAGGAAGTGCACAAAGCCTATTTGTGCATTCTGATGTTTCTAAGTGACAATAAGTCGATGTGTACATGGATACCGAGTTTGTGCAATTCTTTGTCGTGTTATTTTTACTTTGCGTAGCGACGATTTTTGAGCCAAAAATCGTCGCTACGCAAGCCAAAATAACAAGTCAAAGACTTGCACAAATTTGGTATCCCTGTACCGCCAAAAATCGTGAAAGGGTACCCTAAAATATACTTTTACCCAAAATTTGTAGTATATTTTTGAATCCAGAAAACATCACTGCCAATAGTGAAGAAAGTGACATTTGAAGAAAGTTGCCGAGAACCAAAAATTTGATCAACAGTTTAGTGAGAGTTCTCAGCACAACAGTTACAGGACCTGAATACTAGAACTTTGTAATATTTATCTTCAGATTTAAAGTATTAGTACAAAAAACGAAGTAACTCAAACAACTTACATTGACAGAAATGTTCAATTAATGAATAAATATTGAGCTTTTATAAGTAAATTTTGATTTCCTTATGGCCATAAATGCTCTAATTTTTTTTTCATATTTTTAATTTTACAATTTCTACATGATACTAGATTTCAACACGTGATCTAATATCTGAAGAATTTTGAATCGTCAACGAGTCCAGATCTTAGACTTTGTACTGTATGTAATGCAAATTTTCATTTTTGCTGACAGCTAGAAGCAATTTATTTCAAAGCTTTAAATTTTGTCCAAAGAATTGGTGACAGCATGTTTCAGTTATACTATTACAGATTTTTCAAAATTAATTTTTTTTTATATTAACTTCAATGTTTTTTTTCATTTCTGAGTATTATTGCAGTTGTTATTTCAACAGATGTGTTAAGGTCTGGCAACCATGCTTATGACAGTTTTTCAATTTTAACAGGCAATGTTGCCATTTTTGTATGTTCTCTTTGTGTTGTATTGCAACATTTATCGGCTTGTAGATTGGTTTATTGGTTGATTTTTAAGATAAATACTAATTTAAAATGCAAATTATGTATGCAAAAATAGGTATATAATGAATTTTTGCAATTATAAGGCATTCTTCTTTTCTTTTGTAAAAAAATTGCCAAACTACGCCAAGGTGATTGTGTTAATATGTAAGTACCCTTGGAAAATGTTGTAAATTCTGCTTTGAAGTACATTTTATTAAAAAACAAATTAGCTGAAAACAAAAATTTTGTTTATTTCAGACATCTATAGTCTTACAACATGTTTTCATTGGTGATATCTCTAATAAAACAAGTGGAATCAAATTACGGCTTCTCAATCCTGTGGTTTTGCAGTTGCGCCAAAATCAAGTCATTCTAGCTTATCCATTTAAATATCTTAGTGTAAGTATTCTGCATTACTTTCTAATACTAAAAATGTATTATACTAATACTAAAATGTATTTTATATGATTACATTTCACAGAAGTGCACTGAAAATTGAAACCATCTTCCAAAAAAATTACATATAAAATCGTTTTAAAAATACAAATGCATTTATTTTTTTAAAATATCCGAAGCAAAGTAATTCTTATTTTAAGTAGTAAAGAGAAATTTTATATTAAAAAAATAATTTTGTTAAATTAATTTTAATAAAAAAAATCTTTTTCTCTTCTTTGTCCCAACTATTAAAAATTTTGCTACTTACGTATTCTGTTGACTGTCAAACTATCCCTGAGCTGTACAATTGTACTACTCGGCAAGCATGAGTTATGGATAAGTATGTTCAAACACACTCATAATGTCTTTGCATTCATTTGATGTAGCACCAACTGATTCTTGAGAAGATATTTTTTGTTTTTATAAGAATATAAATTGACTGTTATTGCTGTATTTTTTATTGTATTTTTGAAAAATGATTACAATTCGAGATCTGCCTTTTACATAACAGTAAGCAATGGATTATTTTAAGGTTATGAAATTATACCATCAAAAAACTATGTATTAATGAACACAATATGGCACTTGGTTTGAAAATGGATAAATGATGACAGTGCAGCATAAAAAATTATGGTAAAAATATATGGTACTATTCCGTTTTGAGGACCGTAAAAAAATTGCAGTGAAAATGTATGTGCAAAAGCGCCAAATCTAGCAAACGCTCCCATTTAACAGTGTGCCAATCTAGCGTATGCTCTGATTCGATCGGTAATTATATGTTATAATTTCTAAGTGCATTTACCAACAAAGTCTTAATCACTGCGGGAATCGCAATTCCGGATTAGGGGTTTCTGATTATAGATCATCAATTTAAATCTGGTAAAGGCATGCAGAAATTATAAAATTAAAATATAAACCGTAATTTATAAAATAAAAGCAATTATGATCTAAAGGTAATCAAATTTAAAAAAAAAGCTATTTATTTGTTTACTTTATTAAACATTTCTTTCAACGCCCGCATGCGTAAAGCACATTACGCATAGTCGAAATTAGAAAATTGCAACCAGAAAACTATTTGATGTGTATTCGTGATATGTATAATGATGAGAATTTGATTTAAATCATATCAAGACGGGTACATCGAGATGAAATACTATAAGCCGATAAAATAAAAACATCTGCCCTGAAGATAAGATAGTGCTGACAGATCAACTTCCAGTTCATTGCGCACACGTTTCGTCCCCCCCCCCCGCAGAGCAGCGTGAAATTGATAAACAGATTTCGGGAATGGTTAGAGAAACAAAGGATATGCCCTTTATCCAATTTTTTGGCAGCAATTCCACTTTTTGTTTGATGGACATCGAAACATGCTTTCGCTTTGTAGATCCTTTGGGCTCTAGAATCGGAAACTTTTTTGACATAATCAAAGTTTCAAGCTTACTTTTATAAAATTGCTCTAACAGTCTGCAAAAAATAATAAGCCGGATCCAATTAGAAGATTAAGGAACAACGCAATCTGCAACATTAAATGAAATAGATAATAGATAATTTTAGCTTAGCTTATACCGTCGTTATACATTAAACGCACGCAATAATGTATTATATGCATGCATAAAGTATTGTGCATGCGTAAAGCAAATGCGTTACGCATGCGCAGAAAGTTTTAGCTTTGAGGTCCGGATTATAGATCATTCCGATTAGGACATCCAGATTAAGACTTTGTAATGTACTAATTGATTTAAAACTCATTTTTTGTTTTATAGATAACAATGGGCTTGCCATACGAAAGTATGCGATAGAATTTGGTAAGTCAGACCACCCGTTGCTTGATGCATTTGAAAAATGCACATATCGGTATCCAGTACCATCAACCATTTCACTTCAAAAAATCCAAATTTACACCCGTGTCACTACGACACCCTTGATTTATTGTACACATCGACCTATTTTTACTTGAAAAGTAAAGAAATTGAAAAAATCTGTTTTATCTTGTAAAAAGCGGCAACAAATACGGGCGATTCTGCACTTTACCGAGAATGTTTCAAAGAAAGGCATCATTGTTAGAAAATTTTTGAACAACAATGAGATGACACTATGTTTAGGATATCCGGTAGAGAAATATGAGCAGGCATCCATTCAGTTATGTTTAGCAATTTTTATGTAAATTATAATAATAAAAATGTATTGTATGAAATTAACCTTTCATATAAATTAAAACATCAATCTTAGATAGTTATTTACTATTATAATTCCTTTCTTGTGTTAGGGTTGCTGGAATTATTTTTGGCAGCACTGGCATCAACAATAGTTTGGCAATTTTTTACGGCACTCAAAACCGAAGAGTACCAAATATATTTATGGGTACTTGGCGAAAATTGGCGATTTTTGGAGGTACATGGATACCGAGTTTGTGCAATTCTTTGACTTGTTAAAGACAAAGACTTGCACAAACTCGGTATCTATGTACACAATGACCTATTTTCACTTAAACAAAATCAGAGAATTGCACAAACTTGGCATTGCACATTTCCTTGACTTTAACCATGTACACATAGACCTATTTTCACTTAAAAAAATCAGATAATTGCACAAACTAAGTATTGCGCACTCCCTTGACTTTGGCCATGTACACATCAAGCTAGATTCACTTAAAAAGGTCAAAGGAGCAGCCAACAAAAAATATATATAATCTCAGTAAACTACATTTTAAATCAAACAATGCAAACCTAAAAAAAAAAATCACTTTGCACTACACAAGGAAATATCCACTTACCTTCTACATTAACATGTTCAATCAAGCAATTCTTACAGCATCCCAAATTCCAAAATTATCTGAACTAGGATCTTATAAGGCGTCACATACTTCAAAATGAAGTAAAAAATATCCCATAGCGACGGTTATTTGTCCGACTTCGACTCCTTCTCCTTACAAAAGGACGTTAATAAGGGTACAAGCAAAATTCATTTAACACCAGTCAAGTATTCTCTTTTCCCCTTTCTTTCCAAAAGCGGAAGAACTCAAATAATCTTATCACATTCAGCAATTTTACTGTCTAACCAAAAACCGCACATACTTCCGAATCAAAACCACACCCACAACTCTGACATTACTGCAATCATGCAACTGATTATGTCATAATAGGGTTTCCATAACATTCAACTACTCAGGCTAACATAAATAAAACAACAACTTTACAATAATACAAGAGGTACTCTTCTCTCTACTCTAACCAGTCTTTTACGCTCAGTTTGTAATTTGTATCCAGGACCAAACTTAGACTTGATGAGGTCCTAAGCAATTTGAGATATGGGTCCTTTTATAAGAGACGTGGGGCATATTTTTGGAGGGCACTAAGCTATGTAGCTTGCGTAGATTATACATAAATCCATTACTGTTTGTATCTGTTGATTTTGTATGTAAATAAAGAGTGGTGTGTGATTTTTTATTAAATAAAGAGATGTCAGTTGCCTCAGAATTCTGAAGAAACGTTAAGTGCAACTTTGACGGGATCTCTGACAACTTTCATAGTTTAATGGTACTCAACTTTCACAGGTGATGGGACAATACAAATACAAAAGTACCAACATTGTAATGAATTCTGAAGAAATAAGTGAATCGCCAACTGCTGAGTAGACAAGATCTCAGAATACTAATAATTTAACATCTATTTGAATAGGCTGGCTACACTGCATTTTTTTCATTTTGACATGTGTATTATGAATTCAAGCCAGTTTTCCTCAGTAAATCTTCCATGTATTACTTTTCTTGGCAAATAGCCCTTGTGTGCCATGATATTATTCAAGCCAATCTTTAAAGAAACAAGGTGAGTAATTGTTTATGTTTTAATTACCCAGTTTAAAGTAATGGGTTACAGGACTTGGCTGAAAGAATTCCTGATTTTGGAGTAGATGCAATCATGGGGAGTGCATCATTAAATAACAACTTACGTGCTGTTGCTGCTTAGACCAGTATGCTACAACCTTTAGTTACCTGAGGGCCAATCAAATGTTAGTATAGAAAAATGAGGGACAGAGACATTAAAGAAAGAAAATGAATTACATATAAATCACTAGTTATATATCCTTATTTTACGCTAGATCATGTGATGTTGGTACTGCTTTTTTGGGAACAGTTGCTCAAGGTCCACATAATTTCAGTAAGCAAGTCTCAGTTCGATTCCATGAAGCATTTCAATGCATTTCTCGTTTTTGATTGATTGTTGGGACAGAAAAAGCACTGCACACACCCTTACTGCCAAAAGCGAGACAGTGCAAAAGAATTTCTGCAGTTGGGAAAAGTTCATTGACATCAATTTTCCAGAAGGTGAGTACTCACAGTTTTTAGTGTCGTAGAATGATCTGCTGAAGATCACCAAATTTCCATTTGAAGTCGCAGGACTCACTAATTCAATCTCCATGGGGTTGGTAACAATGACCGTTGTTGAGGGAATCAAAATCTGGAATCTGCCGGAACTCGTTCTGATATCAGTAATTATTTCATGAAATACTAAATTTGTTTATTCTTTTTTGAGCTGCTGACAAAATGGAAGTGTGCCTATTATTGCCTTAGGCAATTGCATCACATTAAGTTTCTTGCAGCCTTCAATATATCATACGCGGGATATATTTGTTTTCTGCCTGTAGTTTAAGTTTAAAGCATTTCGATGGGCTGTTAATCTTCAGGAAAACAAGATATTTAAAACTGGATTTCTTTCAATTTTTCCTTAATACTTCGTGGACCAACTTTTTTTTTTTTTTTTTTTTTGGGAAAGCAGGTTTTATTCCTCACATAAAACACTGTTTGCAGACAATTTCAAATTAGCCAGCGCACTGACATGCAGAAATTCACCTACTCAGCATCCAAACTGTCCACAAATGCAATAAATGCTCTTTGTCTCTGGGCTTTGCCTCCCCTTATTAAATTTACAATATTTACAACAGTTTTCATTGCTGAACCTTATAATATTTATCATTTAATTGTTATATTTAATATAATTATTTATATTTATCATTTAAAGCAGTAAGAAGGGTCTTTTGTTTTTCCAAAAGTTTAACTAACATTTTTTCCAGTAAAGAAGGGCAAGTGCCAACAAAATGAATAAGAGGGTCGCATGTGGGCCATGGGTTGGACCACACTGGCTTAGACCATAGCTTGGTCAGAATTTCAGTCTTCTGTTGTAGAGCAGTTTAATCACAATGGTAAATCGCTAATAGCAATGTAGAATGCTTTTTGCATCTACTTTGCATTAAGTCAATGGGATCCTGTTTCCTCCCAAAAAGGCATTAACTTAGGTTTCTAAGTTTAAAAGCTCTGAAGGAGGCAATGCAGTAGGATTTTGCCGCCATTTTTGGTCGAAAAGACCTTTCAAATTCTGGGATAACTACTGAGAAAGGCTCAGTCAGCACATAAAAAAAGAAGGCCACTATCTGAGTGCCGTTTTGTAAATGAAAAAAAATAAAAAAAATAAAAAAAACCACAAAGCTTTTAGACTTTACATTACATCCAAAAGAGCATTTTTTTTTTATGTTTTTTGTGTTACCTTTATTTATTGCATATCATGTTCTTTGCACTTAAACCATAAAATTCAATTCAACTGCAATATCACAAAATAATTTTAAAATGACCATATCTTTAAAATTTCCGATACACAGTCTCGCATGCTGGAGATAGTGTTCCCCCCCCAATACAGTGTTGCCATTACTCACTTTGAAATCATATTGTTAGTAAAAAATTTGTTAAAGTGTTACAAAATATTGAATCCATAATAAAACAAATTCCAAGTTAGGGGGCTGCATGGGTGTTTTCGTGGTTTTCCCCATGTGTAACGTGTATACGAGCCAGTTTCCCTTAGAAAGTCCTCCACGAAGGCATCCCTCCCCTTAGGCAGATAGCCCTCGAGGCTTTGCCGTAATTAATCCATAACATAACAACCCAAGTTAGGGCTTCCGATGCTCATATAAGTGGAGGCTACTTTTCAATTTTGGGGCTCTAGATACATTGTTTTTCACATGCAAACAATGTTTTGCAGATTCTTCATTATTTAATTTCTTTAAATATAACACAGAGCGATAATATTTGGTGGCAACAATTGGAAAAGTGAAACGGACATTTAAAGTTTTCGATGCAAAATGTCATAACGAAATTAATAGCCGTTCTGGACTAATGCCTTTTGGAATTTAAAAAAATGCAGTTTGATGAAAAGTAGCATTATATGTACTTTCAAAGAATAAAAAGAAGATTTTCATACCTTATTTGGTTTGAATTTTATTAGCTTCAGGAACTGGGCAGTTCTTTTTGTCACGTCTTGCACATTGGTTTTATTAAATCAGTTTGCTGATTAAACATGATGACCACTTTAACCAAGAAGTGATGTACATTGCATAGTGAAAATCATTTTCAGCAGCATTTTTGTCTTTAGTTTTCCTCATAAAATTAATCTAAAAATACTTAATTTATTAATAATAATTCTGAAAAATAATTTGGTGTGTGCAAATTGATGTAGCTGAAATTTTGTAGTTGAAGTAGAATTTAATTGATATAGCTGAATCTGGCTGGAGAGGAATATGCTAATTACACTAGATAGCTGATAAAATAAATAAATACACGTTTGTTAATATCTATAATATTCTGCATATATCTTAGACTACCGAATCCTACATCTAAGAAAATTGCTCATGTGCACTTTGTTTAAGAGTCTTTTACAATACATTAGTTCTGCCAAAATCCAAAATGTAGAGATTTGTTTCTTAAATTAATCATTTAAAAATTATTATAAAAATATGCTGAATGGCCAAAATATTAGAGACACCTTCTAATGACATGTTAATCTACCTTTGTGTTTAAACTTATAATTTAGGGGATAAATTTACAAGATGCTGATATTCCTGAGGAATATTAACCCATCCTGACATACTGCCAACTTTAAGTTCATTGAGACTGGATTCATTTCCAAGTACTGAAGTAATCTTTCCTCTTTGTCCTATAAATACTTAATAGAATTTAGGTCAGAAAATTGAGCTGGAAACAATTTGAGTCAGTTTGAGATCAGTCATATATGCTGACAAGGCATTATGTATTAGAATTTCTTCTTAAAAATTTTTAAATATAAAAGTTCTGTAATACAGTCTACTGCTGTTATGTATTTAGTTTCTGTAAGTGACAAAGCAACGACTGGTTATTTTTCTGGTACTCTTAACTCACAGAACTTCCTTCATTTAAAATCACATATCCAATAGTGCTTCTTTATCATCTGCATAATCAGCATCACAGAAAACTTCTACTTTTTCATTTGAAGTTGAACAGTTCTGCAGAGATTCGTAATGAAGACCCAACTTTACAGTATCTTTCAGGTATTAAGAGTCCTTTCATCTGGTAAATGTTTTGACTGTTTCAGTCTCCTTTTTCATCTCTTTCCATTTCCTTTCCCCAAAAATTACGAGAATGTTTGTGTACTTCTATCACAAATTCATTTAGCATATTGGTAAAAATATATTTACGGGTGCCCTTTGGCGATTTTGGTGGTACATGAATACCAAATTTGTGCAATTCTTTGACTTGTTATTTTGGATTTGTGTAGCGGCGATTTTTGCGCCAAGAATCACCTCTACACAAATCCAAAACAACAATTCAAAGAATTCCACAAACTTGGTATCCATGTACACATTGACCTATTTTCACTTTAAAAAAAATATTAGAGAATTGCATAAGCTAGACTTTGTGCACTCCCTTTATCCATTACACATCGATCTATATTCACTTAAAAAGTCAAAGCAGCCTATAAAAAATATATAATCTCAATAAACTACATTTTAAATCAACATGAAAAACTAAAAAAGGAAAGTAATTAAAAGGTAAATTTTCCACTTACTTTTTATAAATTTCCTGTTTCCTCAACAAAATCCTTAACACATCATCCAAAAACTTCCTAAAATTATCTGAACAAGAATCTGTATACTGGCATTGCTACATAAATTCACAAAAATAAGAGTAAAAAATCTTCTCCGACATTCAACCAAAGGCATTTCCTTCCTAAAAACAGAACACTTAAAATGGCAACCAAGTAAACCTTCACTTACACACCAGTCAGTTACTGCTTTTTTTTCCTTTCGTTCGAAATCATACAGAAACTTCAAATTAATCTCACAACATTCAGTTATTTTTAATAGTTTATGTAAACCACATAATAACACCAAAATCTGTCCCATCATTCAAATTCACCGCAATTATGCAACTAATTATGTCATAATAGGGTTTACAGAGCATTCAACTACACAGGTTACCATAAATGAAACAACAAATTAGCGAAAATCCAAGAGGCACCCGTCAATCTACTCTGATCTGCATATCTTCTGAAAATTTCTTCATTTGTTCTCTGTCTTTTCTAAATTCTACAATATAAAATTCTGTAATTCAAGTATTTATTCCTGCTACAAATTACATAGTATTCTAATAGCTATTTTTAAGAACTCTCTAAAAACATAAATTGATCATTATCATTATCTGATTCTATTCCATGTTTCAATCGCAACATTTTACTACCCCCTTTTTTAAAAATATTACAGTATGTTAATTTGGTCAAGTGCTCATTTGTTCCATATATACACATAATGTATGTTTCAAAGCTCATGAAGGAAACTGCATATATTAAAATGATTTTAAATATATTGATAAATTATTTTGTGTGGAATCGAGAAGAAATGAATTGTTTATAAATAAAAAAATATTTATATCGCTCTTTAAATCTCTCTTTCTCATAGGGTGTTAATGGTAAAGTTCAAGAAATAGTTGTCAATTATCAAAATCGTAAAAATTTTACTGGTTGCGATGATACTAGTTCCATTAACCCAACCTGTGGCATTAAACATGAGGGAGGAAATCCTGTACCATATAGTGAGGTAATAATATTAAAAAGTAGAGATATAAGCTCGATTTTATTAATTTGATTTAAAATTATTATAATCTGTTCTTTTCTTTTAATTTAAAATATGATTGAATGATTTCTGAACAAATATTTTTTATTGATTATGGCATTTATTTTGAAAGTTTCATATTGTGCAAAAAAAATATACTGGTTAGATTTTTTTTAATTGATACTTTCTAAATCTCTATTTTAATTTTTTAATTTTGAAAAAGATGTATTTTATAACATAATGAACTAAAATATTAACATAGTTGTTGTTTGATAATTATGTTGTGTTTTATTGTTATATAGATTAGTTTTTTATTTTAGCGTATGGTATATTATTACTGCTTTGTTGCATCCAATTTCCAAAGTTTCAAATTAGTTTATTGATTAACTGGTCAGTGCTGAAATTTCATATTTTATGAATTTAATGTTAATCTTCTCAGCCTGAATATTTGTTATCTCTGAAAAAAATATAATTACATTGTGCACCTCAAAATTGCTAATGCATGTAAATAAATAGATGACCTTTATATGAATGTAGTAAATTGAGACAGGAGGGGAAAGAAAAAAGTGGATGTGTAGTTAGTTATAAAAAAAACCTAACTTTAAATTGCATACCTGATGTATGTTCGACGTCTGAATAATAAAATGGAAAACTGAATTTTAATTTTCTCAAATTTCTGTTGTTAATGATCAAAAGACATCTAAAATTTTGACTTGTATGCTTTTGTTGTTATTTTCCAATTTTTAAAGTTCCAGTTAGTTTCTCTCCGAGCCACTTAATAATACACTAATCTAAATTTCTGTGTTAGCTTCAGCTTTAAAACAGGTTTTAATATTTGTACATGAGTAATATAAATATATAAATATGAGGTATTGAAAATTGCAACAAAACCAACAGCATTATTTTAACGTTTTTTCTTTTTTTTTTTTAACATAGTTAAGAAGATTGCAATTAATCTGCAAACAATTTAAAGTACTACAGCCCCTGCTAAATAAGTTAGTGAGTTATCACTATGCGTAAAATAGGATGTCAAAGACTTGGGAAGGTTTTAAATAACCTTTTTATTTAATTTGAACTTTGAACATAAAATGCTTGACATGTGCTACAGACAAACCACCACCTGTGACAATGTAAAGTGAGCAATAATAGTAAATTAAATTCAAACATGGGTAGCATAGTCTAAGACTACACATTCAATAAAATAAAGCTGTAAAAATCAATCATGTGTAGGCATTGACTAGCGAGAGAATGCAAAAGCCAGAATAATCAGTTTTAAATATAGCTGACTGGAATTCTAATAGCATGATGCAAGTGCCAGAAACTCTCTCTTGACTTCTCAGCTTATATACAGTCAAAAGTCTTTAATCCAAATGTCCATAATCCAGAATGACCTATAATCCTGACCTCAAAGCTACAAACTGTCTGCGCATGCGTAAACGCATTGCATGCGCATAATACGTTTACGCATGCGCTTTTAATGTATAACAGACGGTATAAGCTAAGCTAAAATTATCTAATTATCTATTTCAATTAATGTTGCAGATTGCGTTGTTCCTTAATCTTTGAATTGATCCGCTTTTTTTTTTGCAGCCTGTTAGAGCATTTTATAAAAGCTTGAACTTTCAATTATGTAAAAGAATTCAATTCTGGAGCTGCCAAGGAACACAAGCGAAGCATGTTTCGATGTAATCAAACAAAAAGTGGAATTGCTGCAAAAAAGGGATAGGCATATCCTTTTTTCTCTAACCATTCTGAAATCTTTTATCATTTTCACGTGTTTGAGGGGGGGGAGTCGCAGGTGCAATGACTGGAAGTTGATCTGTCAGCACTATCCTTATCTTCAGGGCAGATGTTTTTATTTTATCGTCTTATAATTCCTTTCTAAAGGTAGTTTTCATCTGATGTACTCCGTCTTTGATATATTTAAATCAAATTCCTCGTCATTATAAATATCACGAATACAATCAAATAGTTTTCTGGTTGCAATTTTATAATTTCGACTCTGTTTATTGCTTTTACGCATGGGGATTGAAAGAAAGTTTAATAAAGTAAACAAATAATATTAAGCTTTTTTTTGTAAATTTTGATACCCTTTAGATCATAATTGCTCTTTATTTCATAAATTATGGTTTCATATTTTTAATTTTATAATTTCTGCTGCCATCTTACCAGATTTAAATGATGATCTATAATCCGGAAATCGCGAAGTCCCGACGAGTCCGGATTAAAGACTTTTGACTGTACCATTCTTTACAACTATAATACTTGCTTCAATAACTAATTTCCTGTAATACTTATGTATATTTTTGTTAATGATTTTCGAAAAACAAAAACTATCACCAAATAAAGTGATACGGTTCCAATAATGGAAAGTATGACATCTAATAACACTTAGCATCTTTGATATGTAATCCTTGTTCTCAATATTATTGATTTAGATTTTTTAAAGAAGGGTATAAGTTATTTGCTATTTCTGTGTTTTTCTCTTGCATGTGTGTGTGTGCATATATTACATATATATATGTATATGGAGAGATTAAAATTTTTTCTTGTGTTTTACAGAAGAGCAAGCGGTATAGCATTTTTAAAGTAACAAGACTAGTATAGAATTCAGCCATGGCCAGTGTTGGAGTCTTGCCCGCAATTAATTAACTCAGATTAACCTTCTTATTTATTTACAATATAAATTATATATACACTTTGTACAAATAGAAATATGTCGATTGATAGAATTGTTTAAAATTATCAGATTTAGCATACTGTGAGCATACTGAGTATTCGGCATCTCCTGCTGAAAGCCAGTCTCCAATTTACCCTTTTTTAACTTAGAGGTTTTTACCCTTTTTTAACCTCTTTTTGAGATTACAGTTTTGGAGAACAAGGCACTACAATTGGTTATATTAATTCATGCATCCATAACATTAAAAAACTGGAGTTTGGCAAAATATCACAGTAAAAAACAATGCACAGCTATGCGACACCACTTGGAACGAATTTATGTGGTTCCAAGTTATATATTATTTTATATTATATTATTTTGTTGCAAAGAATATATTATTTTGTTGCTGCTTTTTTGCCAATCTTTACAATTGATTGAAAGGTGCATAAATACCTTTTCTACTTTGCTCTGCATCTGGGGATTTTTTTAATTGCTTATTTTGGCAATAATTTTATCAATTAAAATAAATTAGAAAAGAAAAGTGATTAATTGAGGGTCATGGTCAAAATTAAGATAAGGTGCTTAAGAGAGAGTTTTAAAGTGACTTTAAATTTTGGTAAGTTCAGAAAAGGGAAAAACAAATAAAAATATTTCTGCTGTTTTTTACAGTTACATGTCTGTAAAACTGCTAAATATCATTTCCGTGTTTCACAGATATTAGAGATATGAAAGGATAAATGTTTTATTAAGAAATGTAGTAGTTCTAACACCTTTCCTCCCCACAGACACCCCCCAAAAAAGTATTTTCTTTGGTGTTGCGAAAATGTGTTCGATTATAAATGCAAATGTGGCAAAGCAGGTATTATTTCTGGTTACTGGTGTAGCAATATTATGAGTAATAGCTAGTACGGTGACAAGCTAGAGATTTTTATAACCAAAGGGTTGATTAAGCTGAAATTAATATATTATTTTAAACCGTTGACAACATAGGATTGAATCTTGCCTAATTTTAAAATTGGCATGCTTTCTTATATTTGCTTACAAATTGAAATTTTAATCTGTAAATGACACAAAAATGAATTTGGTTAAAATTAAATGATACTTTTCAGGGATTCTGTTGCTTCTGTCCCAGGCTACCTGTGAATCAAAAGCAAACAAGAGGTGGGCAAGACTGTTCTCTTGATGTGGGTAATCCAGATGATAAAGAAAAACAAATGTTTAAAGCTAGTGCTCATTGTTTACATTTTTCAGATGTTTGGTATGTTTAAACATATGATGTTTTGCTTATAACTACTTGATTTCAAGATTTTTTGTTCTAGTTTTGTTGTTAAAAACCACTTATAAAATAAGTATTCGATTTTGTTTCATGTGTAATGCAGCTGAATCAGTTTATAGTAAAATTGCAAGTATAGTAGCAAAAACTTATGTCAGGTAAATCTGTTATGAAAAATATCCTTCTTTAAATGAAAATAAAACACATAATTTTTTTTAAATAACTAATTTAAACATATTGCCTTTTGTTTTATATAACATATTTCCAGCCTTAAGATTACTGGCTCAAATTAATTGTTTTAATTTTTTTATTCTTTTTTTTCTGTTCATGTGTAGTCGTACCTCAATATTCATTCCAAATCTATTCCAAATCATTGTATATGTACCAAATGAACTTTTCCAGTAAGAAATAAAGGGAAAATAATTAACCCATTCTTATAAAAATATCTTATTGTTATTGTAACACTTTTTAATGCTAAAATACAAATGTGGTGGATGAAATACATGCTGTACATAAATGAAGAACTGCATATAGATGATTTTCTGCTATACAGATCAAAAGCAATTTTTCAACAAGCTCCTGATATCTCTGATCTTTATTTCTAAATCGATCCCCCCCTTTGCAACATTAGCCAGTTTAATAGCATGTTTGTTTTTCATTATCATAGACTATCATGCTATTAACTGGCTAGTTAAGTTGTTACACTTGCCATATGGTATGCAGTATCCAAGTTCTGCATATGTCTTTTTGAGGTGATCCTAACAATTTTATTCATTGCTCGACTCTTCTCATTAACTTTCCTAAAACTCATTTATGAATTTACTAATTATATATATAAACCTGAAAATTCTGTTATATTCCAGATTAATTCCTGAATAGTAGCAACAGGCATACTGATGTTCATAGCTTTTGGGACAGTCTATAGCATTGTCTCGAAAGAGAAAAAATAAGTGTAGTGCATACAGTTGGGACTTATCAAACTTAAGTTATATTCCGAACAAATACCACATACCAAGGAGGAAAAAAACATTAAGTATATTTCAAAACAGATGTATACCGAGTTACCACAGTAGTCAGTTTTGAATACGTTTAGTATTGTATAAAAAGTTTTTTTTTTTTTTTTTTTTTTTAAGTATCTGATCTTTGGCCATGAAAAATACAACTACATAATATAATACAACTACATATACTCTTAATCTTCTTCAAAATAGACTCATTGGGAATGCATGCACTTCTTCTAGCACTCCCTTCATTATTATAGGGATTTTTAAAAGGTCTCTTTGGATATGGTTAACAGCTTACATTCTGCATAATGTCTTTCTGTGTCTCAGATCTTGCCTTTAATACTAGCATTATGCACTTCCACTCACCTGATTGTTCTTGGACAGCAACATGAAGATGATTAAGATTCACACTGGATCAACCACCTGGTCATTTTGGCTTCTGAAAATTACTCAAATTAAGAATATTTCACTTTCTACACCATTCCTGAATTTTTTTTTATGACCATGTGGTACTGTCATCAAAAGCTTGCTGAATCTTCATAATTGTTTTCTCTAAAGTTTGGGACAAAATTTGGTTCAATACTACTGCTTCAATTATTCTATATAACATGACAAATTAAAAATCTCATAAGCCTTACTACCTTATTCTTAGACTCTTAATTACCAGCAACTGATGCTCTCTGCAGGCAAGACAAAATTTACTCATGCATATGGAATGCTGAATACTTACTCATTGGAAGCCACCTTCCTTATTTACTAGTTTTTGTGGGAGAGGTAGAAAACATGCTCAGATCCTTTTTTTGAATGAACCTTATACATTAAAGATGGCCAAAACAGCTGCTTTATGGGATCGAATCAAAACCTTTCACTCATTGAAATGAATTAATTCTTTTTCATGAAGTGGCAAACTGTGGAAAGAATTGAATGAACAAATGGATCAGGAACAGTTAGTGAGGCTGAAGTGAAGAGCGAAAAGAATCAAATGAAACGTGGAATTGGAAAAATCAGCCCAATCAAATGCTAACTCCCTGAAATGATTTCTTTCAACTGCAGCTGGAGATTCCTTTAAATCTCCTTTCTACAATAAAATTCTTGAATTTTTGTTTTCCCTTTTTTTAAAGTTGGGAAATGATAAAAGTTAAATTTATTTTTAACATGGGAAGATAAACATTCTTTTCTCCCCTCAAATGAGAAAGTGGCTTGCTTTCAACTTCCTTCTATGTTCAATAATGGGAATAATAATGTAAACCAGTACTCAATATAGATTTTAAAAATTGATATCTGTGATCATACTTTTGTTTGATAATGTATAATTTTTACATTTTGTAGCTAGAACCTTTTGGAGATTTTTTGGAAATTTCCAAGTCAGGGCTATACTCAAAATGAGATTTAATATATGTCAATATTTGGACACCAAAATATTTAATGGTGGAATTTTTTTATATATATTATGCTCTAAATTAAGTTAATATGAAAAAATATATTTTATGAAGATATTAGCATTGCATAATGATTTTATTATATAACGGGTGGCCATAATTAAACTGACAGTGCTCACAGTGTTCTGTAGTGCAATTTATTTGCGAGAATGACACCACATTTTGTAGGAAGATTAAACAAGACGGGGACGAAGGATTGTGAAAACAATTAGTTCCAGATTCACCGCTAGGGATATTTGCGCGGTGTAAATAAAATAGAGTGTTAACAATGCAATCAATACGGAAATTAACCTTTATTTTGCATTCAAATGAGGTTTCAATTTGCTGCTGTTGTTGTGGACCACATATTGCATTCTGTCCACAGTATGCACAACAGCAGAAGTAATATGTCTGCAGGAAATCTCCTGTTCAGTTCTGTGATATGTTATCTTTCAACGTAGCCAGTCCTGGACCACTCCTTGATAGACCTGGACTTAAGGTAACCCCATTAGCCAGAAGTCGCATGGGGAAGATCAAGGCGACCGAGGTGCCATGCAGTTGGAAGTAGCGGTAATGACTTTTCTGTTGTGAATTTCTGTTTAGCATCTGTTGCACCCGTCAGCAACGTGTGGATGGGGCTCCATCTGCATTAAGGATTTCCCCCCGGGCATTGTCTTTTATTGCTTTTTAAATCGCTTTTTTAAAAGTTTGCCATATTGCACTTGAACTAATCAGAAATGTGCATAATAAAGGTAATTTTATTCCGCATTAATATGCATTCGTTAACACTCTATTTTCTATTATACAGCGCCAAATATTCCCCTAGCGGTGACTTTTGGAACTAATTTGTTTTTCCGCGGAATCCTTCGTCCCCTGTCTTGTTTAATCTTCCTACAAAATGTGGCGTCATTTTCGCAAATAGATCGCGCTACAGAACACTGTGAGCACTGTCAGTTTAATTATGGCCACCCAGTATTTCTCTTGTGCTATAGAATAATTTTAAAATTGGTTTTGTAATTAGGTTTTCTGTGAGTTCCGTAAGTGAGCCAGTTATTATGCATGAGCTATTTCTACAAGTTTTTAACCAAAAGTACTTGACCAATGGTTCTGCTGTGTGGCTGGCTCTGACACATGAGGAAGCTTTTGAACTTGGGCCCAAAAATACATATCAGTATGATGAGAATAAAACAGTATGTAGAATTTGAAGTATTTTGCAGTTTGCATAAGTCTAACAAAAACTATGGTCATTTGTTTCTTTAATCAATGTTATTAATTTTCTTTGATTAATAGATACTGCTTCTTTTTCACGGCCCCTGCAATAAGCTGCCAGATTATGTAAAAAAATTGTAATTTCACAAATTTGGCAAATTGCATAATATTGTAATAGTCTTTTTTCAATTTAACCATTGTTAAAAAAAAGTAAATAAAAAAATAAAAAATAATAATAATAATAATAATAATAATAAAAAAAAAATAAAATAAACATTCACAATTTATGTAAAAAATGGTACTTTTGCTTTTGACTTCTGTTTGCTGAATTTGATGAACTTCCTTATATCGTGACAGTCTTTTTTCAGTCTGAACTTTGTATAAAAATGTTGACAGTTTTTAATTTACCTAGGAGTGAGGAAGATGCTGTATCTTTTTTTTTGTAAAAAGATATATTACCTCATAATCGAATATGCGCAAATGGCCATAAAATGAAACTATATGTAAACAAAAGTATGTGGAGGCGCAATGTGAAAAGTTGTAAACAAAAAATTCAATCTGACAATTGGTTTAGTGGTTCCAGGATATCGTTCTTAACAGCACTGCGTTTCATTCTCTGTTGAGCAGAGGAACTAATGTCACTTAAATGGTGCAATAAATAGCTCAACAACTATCAAACTATCATGATTGACTGGAACAATTTTATGAGAGAAGTTTGGGTACTCTTCTATTACCTGGACCACATTTAGAAATGTAGGTATGTATGCATCCATGTATGGGTTTATGTGTTTATTATGTTTATGTGTTTTTTATGTATGTATGTATACATGTACATATGTATGTGTATACACACACATATATGCACTTATATACATACTCGCATGCATACATACATACTTTTCTCTATCCAGTTCCGATAACAGAAGAGTACCAAGGTTTGTTCTGCTAGATTTACTTATTTGTAATAAGTAAAGTTTAAGTTTATTTACTGTTTGTTTTGAGTTTAATTACTTATTTGTAATAAGTAAATCTATTACAAATAAGCAATAGATTTACTTACTACTTAATAATACTAGATTTACTTACTATGTAATAAGTAAATCCAGGGCTACCTATTTGTCCTTTTAATAAGCTAAAGGACAAATAGGTGGCCCTGGAAAAATAGTCAAAATTGATGAGATTTTGTTCATGCTGGGATAAAACAATGCTGGCAGAGTTCTTCCACAACAGTGGATATTCGGCAAGTTATGCTGTCAAAGTGGCCTGTGCTCTCTGTTCAGGTTCCAAATTGGGATGTGAGCACACTGATATCAACGATTGTAGACTATGTAGGGGAAGGTTTGATAATATATTCTAATTGCTGGCAAGCCTATAAAACATACAATCTTGAATAGACTAGTTACAGCCATTTTACAGTGAATCACACATTTAATTTTCTTAATCCAGCAACGGTTTCTCACATCAAAATGTAGAAAGATCGTAGGGTTTTGTTAAATGGCAAAACAAAAAGCAAAGGGGTATGGCCCAACATCATTTAGAGTTATATCTTTCCGAATTCATGTCACAGAAATCCTTTTGCAATGATAAGCCCATTGCTGCCATATTCAAATCAATAGTGGAAATACAGCAACCATAAATTATATATGAGTAGGTTAAACCTGGCTATAATCTTGGCACCATTTTGATAATGAGGGCTGCGAAAATCAAGTACAGTCAAAAGTCTTTAATCTGGACATCAATAATCTGAAATGATCTATAATCTGGACCTCAAAGCTACAAACTTTCTATGCATGAGTATAATACCTTTACGCATGCACGTTTAATGTATAACGGACAGTATAAGCTAAGCTAAAATTACTATTTCAGTTAATGTTGCAGATTGCGTTGTTCCTCAATCTTCTAATTGGATCTGGCTTATTATTTTTTGCAGACTGTAAAGCAATTATAAAAGTAAGCTTTTCGATGGTCAAAAGAATTTCCGATTCTGACTCAAAGGATCACAAAGCGAAAGCATTTTTGATGCCATCAAACAAAAACTGAAGTGCTGCAAAAAATGATAAAGGCATATCCTTTGTTTCTCTAACTTCCAAATCTGTTTTATCATTCACCTGCTTGCGGGGAAGGGGGACATCGCGGCATCATGAACTGAAGTTATCTGTCAGCCTATCCTTATCTTCAGGGCAGATGTTTTTTATTTATTCGCTTATAATTCTTACTAAATATTATTTCATCTCGATGTACCTCCGTTTTGATACGATTTAAATCAAATTTTCTCCGTCATTATAAATAACCGTCATATAAATACCATCAAATAGTTTTCTGGTTGCAATTTTCTAATTTGACTATGCGTAATGTATGCTCGCATGCGCGTGTGAAAAATGTTTAAGTAAACGAATAAATATTAGCTTTTTTTTTTTTGTAAATTTTGATCTCTTTAGATCAAATTGCTCTTTATTTATAAATTAACGATTTCATATTTTAATTTTATAATTTCTTCATGCCATCTTACCAGATTTAAACTGATGATCTATAACTGATGATCATATCCGAATCGCCGAAGTCCCCACGAATCCGATAAAGACTTTGACTATAGGCCAATCAAGATTATATTTTTGATAATAAATTATTATTTGTTATTGTTAAAATATATATATACATAAAGAAACTTAATAAGAGGCAAAATTAAAAACAAATTTTTACCTGTCTACGTGTAACTCAGGGTTCGTACGGTCCTTAAGAGTCCTTAAAAGTCCTTAATTTTTGGAATCGATTTTGGTCCTTAAAAGTCTTAAATTTTGGCCGAAATCGGCAGAAGGTCTTAATTTTACTGTGAAATTTCTGTCTGTTTTTTACGACTGCCATTTTTGAGTGTGTTAGCAGAGGTATATATTTGACGGTTCTGATAAATATGGTTATTTGAATGGTTATGATTTGTTTCCTATTTCTAATATAAAGTGGGATACTAGATTTTCTGAGCAAGAGTGAACAAATATTTCGAAATTATTTCACTTTTCTAATGAAGCTCTTAAACAACTTTTCGCATTTGGGGATGTGAAATTCTTTTATTGAACGGCTCTAAATTTGGCGACTTATCAACATTTGGCGAATTTTAAGATCAGTTTCTATAGAAAATTTTAATTTCCATGGTTTGAGAATTTTTCGACGATTTTTTTTTAAACATTCCAACATTGATAAATATCATTAAAATTATGGTAATATATTGAAATTATATTTAAAAAATAACATATTGATTAAAAAATATCTTCTTTTTAATTTTTTCATGATAAGAGTTTTCTCATGTAATTGTCTCAGAGTGTTCAGAGTTCTCAGAATATGCATCAGTTTTCTCTATAAAATTAATTTCACACTTTTTCCATCTGATTTTTTTTTTAAATATTTCTGGCTGTTTGCTGTTACAAAATTGGTAGGTGTAATTTTTCTTCCTCACATTAGACATTGCAACTTGGAAAGTATAGAAGGATTTGAAAGCAAGATTTATAGACCCACCATTCCATAAGATATTAGAAAATTGTGAGAAAATGAAAAATGTCTCTATGGTATTAACACGTAATGGATGTATTTTGCAGAAAGTTTGCAATGAATTTCTTACTTTTTGGAGAACATCTGGAAGAACAATGAAAACATAATATCTGAATGCTTTACTTCTGATACTAGAATCTTTTTCTTAACATGCTTATCTTCCCTTTATTTTCTCTACTTTTCACTAGACACAAGTAGGAAAAATATTAAAAATGCTTCTAATCTATCACATGGACAGGCATTATAGAAAGGAATTTTTTTTATTAACAAAGAAAGTGAAAACTGGCAATTTAAAAGATTCATCTAATATGTCTTAATGCATCATACACAGGTCTGACGCTAGGCATTTTCCCACTTGGTGCAATCACATGGAATATTAAACTTATCTCTGTAGATCCTAAATTTTGCTGACTAGTGCCTTTCTAAATTCTGCTTCCAGTGCCTGCTCTAAATTCTAAAAGTTTTGCCATTTCTACATTTTGTTGCTCGGTGTGTCACTAAATTCTAAAAATTCTGCCACACTAACTCTGTAACCTGCCCTTACCATATATATTTCCTATTTCTCCTGAATGTTCATATTACTAAAGAAATAAAATTAGCAGCTTAGAAACTGAGTACATACAGAGAAAGAAAATTATTCTTCAAATATATATACATGTATTAGGATGTAAATTACCCAGTTGTTTATAATTTCAGCCTTTACTATAATTTCCTTTTTCTATTTCCTCCCCAGAATGCAAATCGCTTAGGCAGTTTTTAAACTGAGGTTATTGGTGTGCAAGACAGAATTTGTTTTTAATCTCCACTTGCTCGTTGCATTAGTTCCTGCCAGCTCTGATAATTTGCAACTTTTTGTCTTTGCATTATTGCTGCTGACATTTGAATTTGTTGTGATGATAGAGTTACTGAGCCAGCTTAAATTAAAATTAAATTGTTTAGTCTTTGACCACTAGTCCACATTTTTTTGTTTGAATTTGATTGTTCTTGTTTAATTACATGACCACAAACTGCAATTGAATTGGTTAGCATAAGAACATGCCTTTAAGTTCTTTTTAAATAAGAGGCTTATTTAAATGTTTATCTGACTTTGTAGTTACTTTGAGACATAGTGATAACTTTGCTTCATGTCTGTAAGGGAGTTTTGGACTATTTAACTTTTACTAGATTAAGTAATTAACCTTAATAGGTACATTGTAGAAGAGACTTGGCATAACTTAGGAGATAAAGCACGCAGAAAACTAGTCAGGAACATTGGTTTGTGTATTCAAACAGATTTTGAATAATTGTTAGGAAAGATGTTTAAAGGAGAAGAAAATTTATATAAATTAAGCCAAAATGTCTGGGAAAGGCTTCAAATTAAAATGAGTCATAAATATTTTGTTGAGTGTTGTTGCTACAAAACATAAATGTTTTGTTTAATTACAAAACATAAATGTTTTGTAGCTTTTAATGTATAATTATCCTAATATCTTTTAAGAATCATAACAAACTGCATGTATTTTAAAGTGTGAAATTTTATTAGATTGGGATTTTAATAGGGACTTTTAACAATATTGTTAAAAAATAAGTAAAATTGAATAGTAATCATGTAAATCCATACTGACTAAGGTTTTCTAACTACATAATTTAATTCGTAACTAACTGCTTACTCTAAAAAATTATCTCTGCATAATGAAGTGAGTTATTGCCTTTCATTATTCCTTAGCGTGGCACAAGGTTTAAACACAAAAATGTAAAAATTCATGTAAAACTTATTCTTAGTATCTAATGAGACCTAAAATAATACAAAGCAACTTAGTGTCACCTCTGGTGCTTTAGTGGCTTATTGGAACCTTAAAGTATATTAACTTGGTTACAACCCCTGGAACTCTACACGGAGCTACGACACTAACCGCAACAGACAGAGCCCAACTAACTTTCAAAACTAGCTAACCGTGCCCACATTAGGCCTCTGAGTTTTGTTCTGATCAGCAGGTCTCTCTCTAGGTAAGGAGCATCAGTGACAACAGCCAGTCTTTTGTTACGAATCATGCTGATTATGATTTTAATGCTCTTTTTAACCTATGCTGCTTGACATAAAATCTACTTACTATTAACTAAACCTCTAGACTGAACAAGTATGTGACAAAATTAGACATTAAAAATAAAAAAGCTGTTAGTAAAACTTAACTAAAATGTAACTTATCTTCTTTCAAATATGTCCAGTTATATTATAAGTGTAAAATATTTAATGATACTTGAACACAAAACACAAAAATATAAAAATTCATGTAAAACTTATTCTTCGCATCTAGTGAAATTTAAAATAAAAAGCAACTTATCACCTCTAGTGCTTTAGTGGCTTAATAGAACCTTAATGTATATTAACCGAGTTACAACTCCTGGAATTCTACATGAAGCTATGACACTAACGGCGTCAGACAGAGCTCAGCTAACGTTCAAAACTTACTAACTGTGCCTACAGGTTTGTTCTGATCAGCAGGTCTCTCTCTAGGCAAGCAGGAGCGGTGACAACAGCCAGTCTTTTGTTATGAATCATTCTGATTATGATTTTACTTCTCATTTTAAACTATGACACTTGACATAAAATCTACCTGCTATTTACTAAACCTCTAGATTGAGCAAGTAATGAGACATAAAAAAAAATTAACAAGAAACTAACTATTAGTAAAATGTAAATAAAATATTACTTATCTTCTTTCAAATATACTGAACTATTGTAAGTCTAAAATATTTAATGCTATTTGATAAATTTCATAAACTATATTTTATGCTTAAAATAATTAATAATTTTATGTTAATTATGTTTAATAATAATGCATCCTACTTACGGATCTATTTTGTTTTTTGCGTGGTATTACAAAAGTGAAGTTGAAGCACAGATAATATTTTAATTGAATTTATTAATTTGCTATTTACTCATAGGTCCTTAATTTTTTTCAGTAATGGTCCTTAAAAGTCCTTAAAAGTACTTAATTTCCATGTGAAGAAATGTGTACAAACCCTGGTAACTGCTGGATTGAAGTAAAATAAACTTTAAACATCTAAGGTTAAAACTAAATTGTAGTCAAAGCAAGACAATTCCTCAACAATATTAATAATTGCATCCTTGTATAAGAAGTTTACCATAATATCTAAACAATTCAAAATTAAAAAAGGATCATAATGGTACAAACTCGAAAACTAAAGATGCAAAAGGGAAAAAAATATACAAGATAATAAAAATATAAAAATTAACCTCTTTTTACTGAAACTCCAATTCAGAACTCATCAGGGGAAAATGAATTACAAGCTTAATAAAATGCTTCGAAAACGTGTTTCATTCTCCTGATTCATTTGAGATCAAAAATCAAAAAAAGAAGCAAATTTCATTTTATGTACCTCCATCCTTAAATGTGCTAATGCCTCATTGTGCAGAAATAATGCTTGATGTCAATTGTCTACAAAAGCATCGTGCAGCTCCAACAAAATTCCGTGCTATTCCAACAAAATATCTAGTAAGAAAATGGAGCAAATCCTCCCACATTAGAAGAACTTAGCTCAATTAAAAAACTTTTCTCCAATTTTCGAAAGTAAGATCGAATCACACATTCAAAACAATTTGGAAGAATAACTTTTTAGAATAATTCTTTTGCTTTGTCATATGATATGAAGCAGCCAATCACTGTGGATCACTTTGGGTTTACCATGTAAAGGGGGAACTAGTTCTCCAATACAATTAATGGTTAATGATGGGACATTCGATGCTGATAACTGCTGATTGGTTGTTGAAAAATCTTACTATTTTTTGTGAAAGAAAGAAAAAAATCATGCATCTTTTTTCAATGGTAAAGCAGGTAGAAAAATTATCTGAAACAGTTGTTTATTTGAAATAAATGAATGTGGGATACTGGCTTTGCTGACAGCATATGGATTCACATTTTTCAGTCATAAGAGTTGTGTTTGTTGAATACTTATCCTTTGTAAATAGGCCTTCATTCATGGTGAGCACAGAAACTACAAAATATGGTTACTCTGCACTTTGCTGTAGAAACTGACTAGCAAATTCAGAGAAATAAGAATAATTTAATGCATGAATTCTTTGCTTATATTAGATGTGTGAAATATGATTTACTAACACTTATATTAAAGGACTCTGAGAACTCACGAGAATTGAATATATGGAATTATAAGCTTATAAATTTGATACATGTGTACTATAATTGTTGTCATTTATGTCACATAGTTTTGTAGTATATGTATTGCATTCCTGTTTTCATTTGTATAATATATACAAGTATAATGCTGTTGTTGTATATTTATATACGTTAATTTTTTTTTTTTGTATTTTTTTCCTTCATTAATATCTTCTTTGAAGGGGTTTGTTTTCAGCTGGGGTAAACAAAGGTATGGAGTGTCCATAGAGTGGAAGTCATTGTGTTGCCAATGTATGTAGTTCTTGGAATATATTAACTTTTGATTTTACGTTTGAAAGGACATATTTTAGACTTACCTTTACTTTCATTAGATCATCCTACAGATTTTCAATGATTCCACAGGATTCCTCCATGGAAACCTCTGCTGGTAGACTAAGTTACTGCATTTTTATTTCATCCAAGGAACACTTAATTATTGATAGTGATTGCAGTTTCGCTTCCAGAAATGATACACTTTTTCATTTTTAGCGAAGTCATGTAGGAAATGTTCCAGTTGTGTGACTTTTGTCTTTAGACATTCGCATTGCCTATTAGTGATATAAGATTATTCAGCTTATATCATTTTCTCCAGCTCGATGGACCAAGTATTGATAGTAATTTTTAGTGGACTGTATATGAATTCACTAAAGTAAAGATGATAAATGTAATAATATTTATTTTCTTTAATTGCATAATTATGGCACTTGAACAGGCAAAGGAGTGAGTAAGGATTATAATTAAATTACATCATTGAACAGAGAAAAAGTGTGTGAGATTCAATGTGCCTTTCACTTACTGGTTAGTACAGAGTTCTGACTACTGACCTGTGTGGTACTGCAATCTCTGCAACAGTACCAAATAGACAAAATATTTTAACTGTGATGGAACAGCAGTCTTTGGCCCATTAATTCTATACAAAAGTTTTTAAGTCACGATCTGCTACAAAATTTTAGGAGAATCGGGTTTTATTTAGAATAGTACTGAGTCTTGTTAAACAGAAAAGTGAGGGTGTCTACTTTGTGCTGTTCTGCTTTTTCATGTTGTTAATGTTATTACTTAAGTATTTACAGTCCATTTTTATACAATTTTCTTTCATATTAATTCTATATTTTTTAACATGGACTTCATAAATTTTTCACTTTTTTTTCTGTTAAAACATATTTTAAATTTTATAATATGAAAGAAAACTTTTTCATATTTTTTCTGTGATTTTTGTTAAAATTTCTGCTTTTAATCTCTTTTAGTCTTCTGAAGTGGAATTAAGAATGTAGGCATATATTTGCTGAAAGAGTAGAATTTTAATAAAATAAAGTTCTGTTCATGAATAACATTACACAAACCTTTCATTGCGATATTTATTTTTTTGTAAATGATGATAACATGAAATTTTGTATTAGAATTTAAATTTTCATATGCTGTCTGTGGTTGTTATTGTATAAATTAATGATTAAAAATAATTTTAGATCGTTGCAACATTTTATACAGCCAGCCCTAAAAATAAATCTAAAACAATACCTGATGATAGATGGTTGCTGATACCTCAACCAATGCCAAGTGTTGAAATTGATAACTTGCCTCCTATTATGAAGGTACTGATATTAAATGTGTTGTTATAAATGTTAATATGCAGTTGACAAAAAATCATCTCTGGTAATATTCTTTTATAATTTTTTTATTGTGTTCTGTAATTCTTTGATATGGTTATAGCAAATAAGTATATGAAATGAAATTATTTCTTCATTTGATATGTTTATTTGCTATAAAATCAAATCAAGTATTTTGCTGTTATAGCAGCCTTGGTGCGGTATGGGAATGGGCGTATTTAAAGCATGGTGAAAATGAGATGGCAACTGATATACTAATAATTTATTCAGTAACTGCAGTACATAATTTTTTGAATATATATATGTACAGAAATAATTTAATATAAATTTGAATTTATTATTTTATTTAACCCTTTGACTATTAAGGCCACCTTCATCTGATCATAAGATTTTCTGTCCCTTGATACATGTTAGCTTATAATTTAAAACATTTTATTTTCTTACTTTCTTTAATGATGTAAATATCATTTTAATGAATGAAAGTTTATGAAAACACAAACTAAAGTAATTATACACATTTAGCTAATAAATGTTGTTTTAATATAGTTCTTGATGAGCAGATCCAAAATGGCATGCAACTCAGAGGGTTAATATATTTTTGCAAGCAATTTATGTGTAAAATAAATGAAAGTAATAAGTTTTGTGTATAGAACAATATCTGAAATTCAGTTGTGAATCACCAGTCCCTCACTCGTGCTCTTGAACATTTAGGGTATTCATAATTCTATTTATAAGGTAGCCAAAAAAGCTCTTGCTGTTTCTGATATGGCATTGAAAGAGTGAATCCCAACATAAAAATAATTGCCAAACCTGGCAATGAAATAGTTAGGATGGGAGTCTGTAAATTGACCAAGAGTATAAAAGCACGTTGCATCGGTACTTCAAACATAACTCACATAGCGACTGATTAAAATGGACACGTCAAAGACACTTATTTGGAATTGTTTGCTGTAGGATTTTAACCTTTTAACTATCATGCCCGAAATAATCTCGGGCAGAGCAATGTTGTTCCAAAATGTCACGCCCGAGTATTGCTTGGGGTAATTTTTTTTTTTTTTTTTTTTTGAGTACATCGTACTGTTATACCCAAATATATATCATGAGAAGTTTATTTTGGCTTCAATTCTATAGATGGCAGTACCTTACTGAATGCTTCAAAGGATAGAGGTTTATGTTCAAAGTGCGTGGCGTTTTTTTTGTTTTGTTGTTGTTGTTGTTGCAAAATGGCATCCAGTGCTTTTAAACGTTATATAGATGATTTAGATTCTTCATCTCATATTCCTCCTACTCCTGTGAAACGTAAGCCTACAAGACAGTGCAAGGTTTGTTGTTCAAAAAAGGATAAAAATGGGAAAAAGATAAAGAAGGAAACATGATTCTGGTGTACTGATTGTGGATTTAGTTTGTGCTTGGAAATGTTTTTCCAGTTATATCACACAAAACTGAAATACTGAACTACTAATAAGTATTCATTTTTATTTTTTCTATTTATTTATTTTTTAGAAAATAATTAAAATAATTATTTTTAAAAGTTTTTAGAAAATAATGCTCCACTAGAAGCACTACCATGCTGAGTGGCAGCCACCTCAAGCGAATATGCAGTGGTTACAAAACCTTACAATTTTTATGCTTGTACCTCAAAGTATAAATTTTTAACTACTAATTATATTTTATTTTGTACTAAACATTTGATTTTTGCAATAAAAAAATTTGGCAATTTATGTACCTAAATCATTAAAATAACTTGACAGTTAAAGAGTGGGCCTGTCACTAGCAGAATCAAGTCCCCAAATTTGCCAGGCTTTTGGGGATGATGCCGTTAATGAACGGAGCACTAGGCAATGGTTGTAGAAATTCAGGTCAGGGGATATGTCTCCTAGTGATGCATCACACAACGGTCGTTCACAAGCGCTGAACGATGAGGCTCTGAGAGCAGCTATAGAGAGTGACAGTAGCCAAACATGTGGTGAGCTTGCTGCACACTTCCAGGTAGGTAGCTGATGAAATGATCAGACTCCATTTGCAATGCATAGGAAGGCATACAAGCTGAACAAGTGGGTACCCCACTGACTGTCCGATGCAAACAAGCAACAGCGTGACATTGCCTGTTTGTCATTGCTTGCTCAGCACCACAGTGCATCCATATTTGATCGAATACTCACCAGCGATGAAAGGTGGGTCCACACTCAAGCATTCCAGACTTGGTTGTCACCATAGGACCCTCTGCCTCACACTGTGAGATCTTCCCTCCACCCACGCAAGATCATGTTCTTTATCTGGTGGACTAGTCACCAAGTGATGCACTATGAGCTCCTGCCAGTGAGCCAGATCATCATGGTAGGCCTGTACTTACAGCATTTGGAACGTGTGCATCAAACACTGATGCATAAAGAGCCAGCATTGGTCAATCGTTAGTACTCCTCCTCCATGGCAATGCGAGACCGCATGTGGCTCGGGAAGCCAGGGACACCATCCAGCAACCGGGCTGGGAGACACTACCCCATCCACCATACTCCCTAGACCTCACACCAACAGACTACCACCTTTTCCCATTCCCTGGACAACCATCTTCGTGAGAAATTCATCAACAACCGGCCAGATCTCGGAAAGGTACACACAGACTCCTTTGCGTCTAAGACTCCTGAGATTTACTGTGATGGCATCGCATAGCTGGCCACTAGTTGGCAAAAGGCACTGGATGCCAATGGTAATTATTTTCAGGATTAGCGATGATTTTTTTTTTTTTTTTTTTTGCATAACTTTTTCTTTTTGACTGTCCAAAGCAGCAAGAACGTTTTTTGTTACCTTGTAGCACCTGAACCAAGAAGTATTTGTTGTCATTAAGGTAAATGCCACTATTGTGGCAATACTATCCCTGCATTATGCTTCCATTTTATGAAGAGGATTTCATTATCTCTGCACTTTTATCGGGTCTTGTTAGGAATCTGTAGATGTTAAATGAATTGCTCATATGTGTCGATAAACGTCTCTGTCTCACGAAGGCTGAAGTGTATCAATTCCTATTTTGTGCCAAGGCTGCTGTGATATAGAAATGCCTTATATCAAAGCAAACCTATAGAAATATAAGTATTATGAAAACTAATATTGTAGGTAAATGTTAGGAGTGTATCCTTAGTTTTCATAAAGAAATGCTGCTGAACACCAAATTTTAAAAAAAAAATGTACTTATGAATGTAAGTTAGAATTAAATGTATTTGAAAGTTGCCTTTAATATTTATATATTAATATATAGTTAAATATTGAACAGCATGTAAAATAATGAAATACACACATTAAAAATTAAAGTTAATCAGATTTATAGTCTGAAATGTTGATATGGAAATTTTTTTAAATAAAATCTGTGATCAGTTTGTCTTAGAGTCATAATTCAATTTTGCTTGACTGGTGCTTATTGCATTATAATTTATTTCCAAGTATAATCAGTGAATAAATTATGCTAATCGATTATTGATTCATCTTAGCGCTGGATAAAATTTGAATATTGATAGAGTTAATGTTCATATCAGCGACTCAGTCTTTTAATTTTCACTTACCATGTTACTAATAATGTTGGTATTTATACATGATATAAATTTATGTTCAAGTTTATTTTCAAGAGTAAAACAAAGGACATCTAATTCAAATAATTAGTAAGACTTGTGCTATATGTATTTAATAAAATTTAAGATAAATTGGAATTAGAAGAAATAAATTTTTCTGTGTTCAAGAACAGTTCTCAGATCGCTTACTATTAGAATCGTGCTTTTCGCTTAATTTCTTGGACAGATTATACTTTCACTGTGCAGATAATTGATTTCACCTTTTTCGATACATATTCTGTTTGTAGGTGAGAAAAATGTTTCTTTCACGTATAAGCATTTTGTGACCTGTGACTGTTCTTTTCTGTTTAAGCCTGAAGTTAAAGCAATAAGAAATATTCTTTTTGTAATTAGTGACTGCGCTTTTTGGTTGAAATAAACTAAGAAACTGCTATTTCCTTTGTATGGTATTCATAAGATTTTTTTAATTGCGATTTATGAAATCCTTCAGTTAAAGCAATAAGAAATACTCATGCTAAATTTTGCCTACATTTTCTTCTTAATTTATCAATTTTTATCTGTTTGTGTAATCGGCAGATTGATTATTATAGCTCTTGTTTTATGAAGACTTATGTAATTTATTTATTGATTTAATATTTTATTTCTTTTATTATTTTATCTTCATAGATATTTTTCATTTGCTTAATTTAATACAGATCTATTCTTTATTGCTCATATATCAAAAGCTTTAAACATGTTCTAATACTACAATAGAATGTCAACAAAATTGGAAAATAAAAATTTAAAAAAAGTCTGGAAGCTTTCAGATTTTATATTATGCCTAAAGGGGTGTTTTTTTCATTTACACATACATATACATTTCAAGAGCACTTGGGCTAAAAATATTTAAAATGCAGCATATCTTTAGAAATTCTGATGGATGGTCTCGCAGGCTGGAGAAAAAATATTTTGTTCTGTACAGTGCGTTGCCACTGCTTGCTTTGAAATCATTGAGTTTCTTAATAAAAAATTCATTAAAGTTTAAAAAATCTAAAATAGATAATAAAACAAATTCGAAATTCAAGATTGTGACTTCCAGATGCTCATATTCGGGAAGGACTATGTTATTCAAAATTTGATGGCTCTTTGTATCTTCTTCTTCTTCTTCTTTTTTTTTTTTTTTTTTTTTTAATATGATGCGAGAAACATACATGCATTCATGTAGATTCTGCATTATTTAATTTCTTTAATACAGAGTGATAATATATAATGGCAACAATTTGAAAAGGGATACAGCCATTTATAGTGATTCAACACAAAATACCATTTTAAGATTAATACCCCTTTTAGGCTAACACCCCTTTGGGCTTCGTAAAATAGTAGGTAAAGCAATCAGTAATGAAAAATTAAATAAAATATAAAGGGATAAAATTATTAATAAATTGAGTTAATCATAATTAAATAAACAATGGATTAAAATGTCATAAAAATTAAATGAAAAAGAATAAATGAATAATAAATTAACATAAATTGAAAACATTTAGTGAAATAATTAAAGAAATGAAAAATAAGTAAGCTCATAATAATAAGACATAATACAGAGAATGATAAATAAGTTTTCTTTCTCTTCCTTTCTTTTCCTTTCTTCCCAATTGACCAGATACATACTTTTCACGCATTTGTTGAGTATAGTGCCAGACCAATGAGTTGCACAGCCGTCTTATCACTAAAAACATTTTAAAGGGTACGCCACATGTCTGATATTACATTTGTAAGGAGATTAAAATTATTTACATAAATAACTAATATTTACAAGGGATTTGAATTCTTACTTTGTCATTTAGCCTAGTTGTCAAGTGCAGGGGACGATGAAACAAAAATATTTTTTTTTTCTGCAGAAAACAAAAAAGCACTTGTATCTGAGTGGGATGAAAAATATTTTTCTTCACACTGAGATATATGTGTATATACATTTTGTTTTTTTACTGAATTATATTTAATTGCACAAGTATACAAAATAATTTTTTTTTTTTTTTTTTTTTTTTTTTTTTTTTTGCACAATTAATGCTACTGGTACTAGAAAAATCATGATTTCATCTATCATCACAGAAAGTGCCCTTCAAAAATCATCACATTCAGCAAGTGCTGGACAATAAATTTAGATAATTTAATACTTGCAATATAATATGTAGCAATTTTCTATTCTTCTTATTATTAGAATGGTGCTACTGATTTTCTTCTGTTACCTAAAAACCTGATAAATCCTAGTGGACTTGAGTGTGATGTGGCAGGTGTTTCTTTTGAAGCATTTTGGAAGCAGAAAGATCGATGTAATGCCATTAAAGGAACGTATGTTATCATATATTTTATTTATTAATTTAGTACATTGTGTCTTGAAAAACTGAAATTGCATTTGTTGCTTTGCTGAAAATAATAAGTTTATGATGAGTCTTTGATATGCAAAACAATTTGAAGTTCTTTTTCCCTTTAAAGTAATTAAAAAGTTTAATGTATTAACTTAAATTTCATTACAGGAAAGATTAAACACATATATTTTAGTAAATAACAACTGAATATTAAAATCTTATGATTAGAATTTAAGACAATATTTGGTACACTCTGATTATTTACATCTCAATAGAAAAGTGGTGAAATCATTGCCATCTTTTGAAAGTATTCATGAACTTGTTACTGACTAGTTTTTTCCCTAAACTAATGCGGGAAAGTCAAAACCTATTTTCAAAATGGTGGTGTACAAAGAATTCCATGAGCAATCAATCAATAATATTTGAAAAAGCAAGAATCAACAGTAATAAAACACCTTTTTCTAAAAATCTTTCTTTTTTTGCACTGTTGTTTTCTTCATATTCACAGTGATCTGCTTTCACTTAAGGGAAGGGAAAAAAAAAAAAAAAAAAAAAAACAGAATTTCACAAACTTAGCATCCATACAACTTCAGCATTTCACACTAGGCAAAATAGACATGTCCAACATGCATATTGTCAGATAAATACTTTGTGATGACATTGCGTGTTACCACATATCCATTTTGGTGATGTACTGTTTTTCCTTGTGAATACTTCTTTTGACTTTTTGGTAGCAATGCAGATAATCAGAAAGTACATAATAAAAGAGATTAGTGGTAAGAAATGACAGACTTAATTGGTGAATTTTAAATTTGCAACATGCTTAATCTTCAGACATAAAGTTCTCTGTGTGATATCATCGATTAAGTACTTTTTCTCCTCTAAAATTTCTACTATTTTAGAATAGTAATCAATTGAAAAAAAAAATAAAATATTGATATTTATAACATGCAACATATTTGATTTTCACACTCACTTTAGGCCAAGTGATATCATTCCTTCATTGCTTTTCTCTCCTTTAAAATTTTGATAATTTTTTATTTTCTCTCTAGAAAAGAAGTGGGGTATTTCTTTATCATTCATTCTTTCACACTTTTTTGCCATTCTCTCCCCTCCCCCGAAATGTTAGCTATTTGTAAGTTATCATCAACTAAAAACGAAATGGTGGTTTTTCTCTTCAAAAGAGCCTGGAAGGTTGCAAACAGTAAAAGAGAAGAAATGGCTGCCAGTATGTTGAATATATTAAGATGTAAATGCAGAACTGTAGGACAGAAAAGTCCTTCATGCTGATAATGTATTTCATGATTCCAGTTTCTTTTTCTTACAGCTTTGTTTTTCATATACTGTTGGGGTCGAGAACTATTATCAAAATGGTGCAATAAATATTTAAATAAGAATGAATATCAGAAAGCACCAATATTTGATTCTATAAGTAGCAGCAGTTGCTGAAATCAAACACCTAGCCTAGCAAGCATCAATAATTTACCTGTGATCGTGCTCATTTAAACCAATACCTTTACTGATGCCAGCAATTTATTGTCCATCTAAAGTTCTGATATATATTCTGTTCATCAAATACATTATTTTTCTGCTAGTTATTGATTGGAAACATTCTAGCTTATTTACATGTTTCCATTAAAGCTGTATATAATCATTTGTCATATCAGTGTAAACTATACTATATTTACTATTATTTTATTCCTTTTTTGTATCATAAATAAACATTATTTGTGTGGAATGTTTGCAGTTTTTCTATGCAAATTTTTTTAAATAATTTTTGTTCATGTATTGTCTTCATATATATTCTTTATTTAATAGTATATTAACATGCTAAGTGTATCAAAATTCTGCAGTTATTCAAATTCCTGTGCATTGTAACTTATATAATGCACTCTTTGTTAAAGTAGGAAATTTTTTTTTTTAATATAATGAATTATTTCTGCTGCTATTTTACCTTTATGATATTTTCAGATGTCTAAAAAATCAGCCTTTGGACTTTTGGGAAGCAGATAAGGTAATTTGTATTGCTTTTATTGTAATAATATATTGTAGTGGCCCAGTTAGGGCATGAGAAATAATTATTTTTTATTTCATATATTTGTTCATATATTTAATTATTTTATAAAATTAACTTTAATATTTTGTTAATATTCATATTTATATTTAAATTTATGCTGAATGGCAACTAGTTCTAGTTCTGATTCATGATTGCTAGGTTTTGGTTTCAAAACGTTGCTTGTAGCGTCGCATTTCGATAGCCGGAAAATAAAATGCAATAACTTAGCTATTTGTTTATAATTCATGCTGTTACTAGTCATAAATTAATTTTAAACATTAGTAGCCAAGGCTACATCATGGTGACCCTGATTAATTTTCGAAATGTCAACAAATGACTCTTCTGAAACTGCTATGAAAGATACCATGCAGTCACCGGAGCTTCATCAGGTGAGTGTAAAAATACCTCCTTTTTGGATTGATAAACCGGAAATATGGTTTTTTCAAGTTGAAGCTCAGTTTAAAATTAGTAATATCGTTTCAGAAGAAACGAAATTTAATTATTTAGTTTCACAGCTTGAACCTAAGTTCGTCGAAAATATTTGGGACATTGTAATGAATGATAGTGCCACAAAATATTCGGATGCTAAAATTAGGTTATTACATTTATTCAAAGAAAGTGAAAATGTATGGATTAAACGTTTGATTACTGGTATCGAACTTGGAGACATGAAACCAAGCCAACTTTTGCAGAAGTTGAGATCAGTTGCTACTACAGATGTGTTTGAAAATCTAATCAAAACTTTATGGCTGGAGAAGCTACCTGACTCCATAAAACATATATTATTAGTTAGTGATGAAGATGTAACCAAGTTAGCGTCTATGGCAGATAAAATTAGTGATATGAATCGGAAACCAGAAGTATTTAGTACTAATGCTCCTTCCATTCCCGCAAATGATTTGTTGCAAAGAATTACCTTTCTTGAACAAAAAATTGATCAAATAACCATTCGCTCAAGACGCAGGGACTCGGATTTACGTAATTCACGTTCACGATCTCGAAGCCGATCTCGTAAACGATATGACCCTTACTGGCAAATTTTGTTTTTATCACTTTCGTTTTGGAGCAAAATGCATTCCAGAGAAATGCAAGCCTCCGTGTGCTTGGGTAAAAAACGATTTCAAAAACCAGGAAAACTCGAATCTGCAGTAGGTTCAGCGGCAAACGCTGCTGCAGAAAATATGAAGGATTGTCGCAAATTTCGTTTATTCGTTCGTGACCGAAGATCAAATTTGCACTTTCTTATTGATAGCGGAGCTGACGTAAGCATAATTCCTGCTACTTCACAGAATAAATGTAAAACTGAATATAAACTGTATGCAGCTAATGGCACAGATATTTCCACTTATGGCATAAAAACGCTAACTCTTGATTTGGGATTACGTCGTGATTTTCAGTTTCCATTCATAATTGCTGATGTCACAAAAGGTATTTTAGGAGCTGACTTTCTTCACAAATATAAATTGCTTATCGATATAAATAAGAAAAAATTAATTGATGGCGTAACACAGCTTTGTGTCCAGTGTGATGTCGCTGCTATTTCCAGTGATTACTCAGTAACCACATTAAATAAATCCATAAAAATTTTCGATTTACTGTCGAAATATCCCGAAATTTCTAAACCTAACCTTTTCCTACACAAATTAAACATGGTGTTACACATTTTATTACGACTGATTGGTCAACCCGTTTATTCAAAGGCACGACAGCTCGATTCAAAACGCTTAAAGAGGAATTTAAATTTATGCTTGACAATGGAATAATTCGTCCATCAAACTCCCAGTGGTCAAGCCCCTTGCACCTTGTTACGAAAAAGGATGGTTCATATCGTCCTTGCGGAGACTACCGACGATTGAATGCGCAGACGATACCTGATCGATACCCAATTCCTCGCATTGAAGATTTTCATCATATTTTAAGAGGTACAAATATTTTTTCTAAAATTGATTTATTCAAAGCTTATTTTCAAATTCCCATTGCAGAAGAAGACAAATGTAAAACGGCTATCATCACTCCTTTCGGTTTATACGAATTTAATGTAATGAGTTTCGGTTTAAAAAAATGCTCCTGCAACGTTCCAAAGATTTATTCACGAAGTCTTTAGAGGATTAGAATTCGTTTTTCCCTATTTAGACGATATACTCATTGCATCCAGTACCCATGAAGAACACGAAAATCACCTTAAATTAGTTTTCGAAAGATTACATACATTTGGGTTAAGAATTAATGTTTCAAAATCTGTCTTTGCTGTTCCCCAAATCGAGTTTCTAGGCTACCTAATTACACCTAAGGGTTCCCGTCCTTTGCCAGAAAGAGTTCAAGCTATTACTAACTACAAACGACCAGAAACAATTCATGAACTTAGAACCTTTCTTGGAATACTTAACTTTTATCGTCGTTATATAAAGGATGCAGCGAAGAATCAAGCATTGTTACATGCGTATCTCAAGGGAGCTAAAAAGAGGGACAAACGTAAAATCGAATGGACTGAAGAAGCTGAAAAACAGTTTGAAACGTGCAAGAATGACCTGGTGAACACGGCACTGTTGTCTTTTCCCAATTCTGAATTACCTCTGGCGTTATTTACAGATGCTTCAGATACGGCGATTGGCTCAGTGTTGCAACAATATGAAAACTCCTCGAAGCCAATAGCATTTTTTTCTAAAAAATTAAGTGATACTCAGCAAAAATATAGCACCTATGATAGAGAACTATTAAGCATATATCTTTCAGTTAGACACTTTAAGCATTATCTAGAAGGAAGAGTATTTACAATTTATACAGATCACAAGCCCTTAATATTCGCCTTTCGTCAAAAACTTGACAAAGCAACACCTAGACAGCTCGCCAACTTCAATACATCTCCCAGTTTTTCGACTGATATCAAATATTAAAAGGTGAGAATAATATTGTGGCGGATACATTATCTAGAGTTAATGAAATTTCATCGATAGATTATGATAAAATAGCTGATGAACAAACTCAAGATGAAGAACTGAAGAGTTTGCAAACCACTACTTCCTTGAATTTCAAGCAATGTTCTCTACCTTCGGGGAAATATTTGTAGTGTGATACATCAACTAAACATGTTCGGCCGTATATTCCTCAGGCTTTCAGACAACACGTCTTTCAACGAATTCATGGTTTATCACATCCAGGAATAAAATCGACTATGAAATTAATGACATCAAAATTCATTTGGCCTAACATAAAAAAAGATGTACAGTTGTGGACAAGAACCTGCATTTCCTTGCCAAAAAGCTAAAATCAGTCGGCACACCAAAACAAAATTAGGTGAGTTTGAAGTACCACCAGGAAGATTTTCTGTCATCCATATCGATCTCATAGGACCACTTCCACCATCTAAAGGGAATATTTATTGTCTTACTTGCATAGATAGATTTTCGAATTGGATGGAAGCAATTCCTTTAGAAAATATTTCCGCTGAGAACGTCGCAAGAGCCTTTTATAGCAACTGGATTGCGCGTTTCGGAACGCCAAGTAAACTCATTAGTGATCGTGGATCCCAATTTAAAAGTGATACATTACGAGCTTTGTCCAAAATCTGTGGCATCAATTTACAAACAAACTACTGCCTACCACCCCTCGTGTAATGGCAAAGTTGAGCGCCTTCATCGAACATTAAAACAGCATTAAAAGCCCACAACAACATATCTTGGACTGGACACGTTACCAACAGTACTTTTGGGTTTGCGTACTGCTATTCAAGAAAATACCAATCATTCTATTGCGCAAGTAGTTTATGGCCAGAGTCTCAGACTTCCTGGAGAGTTTTTCAGCGAACCAAGTATCCAGACAGCATCGGAGACTTTTGCTAATAAACTCCAGAAACAGATGGAAGTTGTTGGACCGAGACTAATTCGTAAAAATTCATCTGAACAGATATTTGTCCATAAAGACTTACAAACTTGTTCTCATGTGTTTCAGCGAATAGATCGGGTAAAAAAACCTTTGGAACCTCCTTATGAAGGACCATTTCCTGTTATTGATCGCAAGGACAAATATTTTACTATTAGCATAAAAGGAAAACATGTTAATGTATCCCTGGATCGCTTGAAACCAGCATATATTTTAGCTGAGGAAAATTCTCAGTTGATACAACCTGACTACACTAATTTGCAGAGACCGGACTCAAATTCGGATGTGAATCAAAAACATTCTCGCACAGGCAGAACTATACGTTTACCTGTTAGATTCAAGGACTGACTAAATTATTTTGATAGTCTTAACACTGCAATACTAGTTACTACCTATTTCTCCATCTTCGTAACGTAACTTAGTTACTGGTGGGGGAGTAGTGTAGTGGCCCAGTTAGTGCATGAGAAATAATTATTTTTTATTTCATATATTTGTTCATATATTTAATTATTTTATAAAATTAACTTTAATATTTTGTTAATATTCATATTTATATTTAAATTTATGCTGAATGGCAACTAGTTCTAGTTCTGATTCATGATTGCTAGGTTTTGGTTTCAAAACGTTGCTCGTAGCGTCGCATTTCGATAGCTGGAAAATAAAATGCAATAACTTAGCTATTTGTTTTATAATCCATGCTGTTACTAGTCATAAATTAATTTTAAACATTAGTAGCCAAGGCTACAATATTAAACCAGTGGTTCTTAACCTGTTTTGCCTCATGCACTCCTTTCACCATTGCTAGAAGATCATTTCGCCTTTTCTATAACCTGAAAAATGAATACACATTTATTAGATTTATATTATTTTTTAATCAGTATTATGAATTTAACAACAAAAGATGTAGAAAATGTTGATAAATACCAAAACTTGAATAAAAGTAGTTTTTCATATTCATAAACTAAAATTTAAGTATTTAACTTAAAAGGCTGACTGCATTCCCCATTAAACTATCAAATTACCCCTAGCCCCTCATTTAAAACCCCCTTTATTAAACTGATGACATGTTTATTTTATTT